TAATGGGCTTACGTTGTATTTCCCCGCTGCTTTAGTTATGAAAACATCATTTTTGTTGCTTATAGGTTGGTTTTAAACAAAACAAACACAAAAGTTTCATTTTTCAGTTAAATACGCATGTTTCCTAACTGCCTGATTTGTAGCACAGAGATGGGGCTGATAAAACTAAAAAATAAGGATAATTCTGTCTTTCCATGGTAGGATTGATGGTGGGATGCAGAATTCATCTTCAGAGAGGCTGTCGCTTTAGTTTCAGAGAAATAACTTAGGCTTGTCCCGCCTTCCATTTCTCACTGAACATCCCCGAGATGTGGAGGAAAACTGGTGCACCTGACTGCCTAGGTACGCTTGGGCAGGACTGTGAAGGGGGTCAACGTTGTTTTGGGGGACTTTCATCTCTCTATGTACTTTCTCCCATGTTCACTTTTCTCTTCTCTTTCCCAGTAGTAACAGGCTGGATGTGAGGTCACACTCACTGGCTAAAAGGATGACCAACACCTGGATCTTTTTTCTTTTTCAGAGATACACTAAAGAAAGCAATGATAAGTGTATGGTATTGATACTTAAGATATTCTAATTCTTTGTTCAGAGAATTCTTGGATGTGGTGAGCTAGTTGTCCTGGAGAACACACATCTTTTTGAACTCTTCAGATCTCATCACACACAGCTGCCAGCTCTGTCTCAGGGCCGGCTGCGTATTGGTGGAGGCAGTCTAGGGACTGTCAAATGTTAAAAAATTAAGAACATCTTTAAAGGATTCTCTTGAAAACTTAATCTTTGAATTTTTCTTCTGTAAGTTTTCACCATTTTGTATAAAATATGCAAAGATTTGGTTTATAGTTAGAAGTATACACCCAAAAAATAAGTTAACATTTAAAATATAGCTGGAAGGGGTGATTAGGGGGTGAAGGGATTGAGCAAAAAGGAAAAAGGATTCATAGACGTGAAAAACAGTGAAGTGATTGCTGAGGGGAGCGGGGTATAAGGAGATGGGTTGAAAAAAAATACAATAAAGATTAAAAAAAAATTTATTAGTGTTTGTTATTTTGATCCAGTATTGCAGAATGTTAAGTTTACAAAATAACTTTGTCTTCCTCTTCTGCTGTTCTTAATAGATACCTATTTTGTTGAAGCTTTTAAATTACTGGTTAAACACTGATTATAAATATTAAATATTTAAATGTAAATTCAATGAATAACAAAATAAATTTTTAAGTAAATTATATTTTTAATATGCTAATTATTTGAGAAAAGAAAATATAGTAGATTTAGTTCTCTAAGTGAAATTTAAATAGTATACAAATGGGTAAAAACATGAGTATTGTATTCACTTCCCGATCTCAACTTACCACTATAGAAAACCTTATTTTATTACTTGACTGTTTTGGAGCTTTTACATCTTTGGGAAAGTGTGGGGTGTGGGGGTGACTGTGGCTTCGGGTAACGTGGACCTAAATTAGTAGCCTGTTTGTTAGACAGGGCTTTTTAACTTTTCGATCTATGCCCTTACTTATTTTACCTATCTCATATGGTAAATAAAACAATATCAGTACGTACTTAGCACTGAGTCTAGCACACGTTAGTCACCTGAAAGTACCTCCTTGTTTATATGCAAATCAACATTGTTGGTGGTTGGTTGAGAATATTGAGTGTGGCCTCGTTTAAGTGGGGATTCCATGATAAAGGGGCTTGATTAACTAAGTATTTAAATTCCAGGTCAAGGAAGTTGTATTTGAAAGCTAATAGGCAGCTAATAATTAGTTTTAAATACAACAATTATTTATTGAGACATTATGTATGTGGTATGGTTTGAGGTATTGGTATGAGTAAAATGGCTTTAACTTAGAAAAATGAAATCAGTGATTTTTGAGAATTAATATGATTTCAGCATTTAGGGTAAATATGAGCAGGAAGAGAGGAAAGTGAGAAGACAAGCAGGAAGGCTGCTTTACTAATCTCTGTGTGAGGTGATGCGGTTTTATACTGATTGACAAAAATGGAAAAAAAGCAGGAAGTGATGAAGCCAGGGAATACGCAGGAAATGCTAACAAGCAGCGGTGACTGGATGGGTGCGATAAAGCTGCTGGGCCGTGGCGCAGAGATGGAGGTGGAGAGTATTCCATGGCGTCAAGTCTGGGAATCCTGAAAAGTAATGTTAGTGCGAGAAATGGGATGGGTGGTTGGGAAGAAGGGAGTTCTTTCCCCTGCACTCTACCTTTCCTCTCTCTTCCCTTTTTTGTACTGGGAGGAACAGAGGAAGAATAGAAGACCAGGTATGGGGGTACAGTATTCACAAAGCAATATTTTGAGTGCTAATGGTGAGGGGCAATGCACTGTAGGGGCTCAAGAGAGAAAGAATATCAGGTTTGAGGAACTAGGAAAGGCTTTATCATGAGTTAGCATTTTAGGTTGTGGAAGATGATCCTACTTAGGGAGAAGTGGTGGTAAAACACTCTAAATGGATGAAATATTATCAAATATTTGGGAAAACAAAACATGGAGAGTGTTGGGCATGTGTGTGGGGTACTAACGAGACATTACTGGTTGGATAAATTGGGGTCTAAGAGGGCTTTAAAAGTCAATGACAAAATGTGTCTTAAATTTAATAATAATCATAGTAATGATAGCTAGCGCTTATTGTTAAATCCTTGTTAGGCCATGTATTAGGTGCAGGACACATATTATCTAGAATCTTTATAATAATTTCCATGATAGATGCTTTCCCCAATTTGTAGATGGAAAAAGACTGAAGCCTAGAGAGGATATTTAATTTGGGCAGCCTCATACATCTATTAAATGGGGGAGATGAAAACGAATTCTGTGTGAACCCTAAAATGATGACATGACCTGCTTATTCTGTTATTGGGATTATTGCTTGTTCTGTTAATCAAAAAGTTAATGCAGAGGATCATAAAATTATACATATTTAAATATTTTTAACATAAAGCAACTAAATGTGCATTTATTCTTTAATATTTTAGGTTAATACTGCTTCTTTGAGTAGGAATCTGTTGATTAGAGTTCCCAGAACCTTAGGCTAGTTTAAAACCTATCCAGATAGAGAATCTGTCTAGAGCAGTGCTTCTCCAAATATGGTCCTGGGACCATTAGCATTGGCATCACCTACCTGGGAACTTGTTAGAAATGTAAATTGTTGGGCCCCACTGTATACCCACTGAATCCAGCTCTAAGAATCCAAGCTCTGAGAGTGGGGCTCCAAGTCCTTTAGGTGATTCTAATTCATGTTATAGTTGGAGAACTACTGATATATAGGAGGGCTCTGGCTATTTAGCTGAAGATTGTAAGATGTGAACATTCATCTAGTGGCAGTGGGAAGGGAAAGAGAAGTTGTAGAGGAAGAATTTATAGAATGATAGCTGACTAATTAGAAATGAGATGTAATGGAGAAGACTGTTGTTACAGCTGTCTGAGGCTATACACAGGTATCTGTTTGAAGGATGGTACCATTAACAAAGACCTATGTTAGAAGAAAGAAGTGGTGTGAGAGGTGGGTAGGGTGATGGATTTGGTGTGCTGACGGAGGTGGTGAAAGAACATAAATTTGCCTTGTCCATCATATGTAGGTCTGGAGTTCTGGAGTGACCTTTTGGCTAAAGAAAGAGCTAAAGATGTTAACTTTTTTATAATGAATCCGAAGTTGGAGCTAGGGGAGAGGAGAATACGTTTGCTAAACTCCTTTTAAGAAAAAATCGGGTTAGTTTATAATGACAAAGTCTAAGTTTTTGTCTACTGCCTCTTTAAGTTAAAATAGTGAGATAAAGTAGATTGGATCATTGCCAAAATACAAATGAAAAAGTTGAGATTTTCCCAGGGTCACACAGTTAGATTGGTAGAGCTGGAGCTAGTGGTCAGGCCTTCTCGATTCTCAGCTTGTACTTTTGCTATAACCTCATGTGGCTTCATGTCAAATATGTCTACTTGGCTTTTGAGGTCTGCGCTGTCTAAGGAGGACTGACAAACTGCTGAAGCAGCCATGGGCATTCCAGGGGGCAGCGATGTGTTCAGAGCTAAGGAGAAATGGGGCAGGGCAGGAAATCTCAATCAAAAGCAGTTAACATTGAAAATGGAATCCTTTGGCTACCTGGGTGAGGTGGCTGCTCTTTAGAGCACATTCAGTAGTTTAATAAATATTGGACTGAAGACTATATGCTGCATACCATGATGGATTCATTATTATGGGAAGAAAATTATTCAGGCTCTCCTTGATCTCCTGTCCTGCATATATGCAAGGCTCTGATGCAGTGGTTAATTAAACTGAAGGCCCTGAACATAGTGGCATTTACAAAATGGACATCCTAAGTTATCTTGTCATTTGAGAGACCGTAAGAACTCGATAACGTTTCTAAATCATGATATTATAATCATTGCTCTTTATTTTCAGTAAACGTGTTTTACAAAATAATTATCCACTTTTGGAACTCTTAATCTCTCATATTTGCTGTATTGGAAGTTAATTTTAATGTTAGCAGGAACCTATCAGTATAAAGGAAAATGTACAGCATATTGAATTGTCTGAAATACTTCTCTCTGTAAACATAGAAAAGAGCTAACTAGGTGGAGTTTAGGTTAGTTACCACTTTCGAAGTGTACAAAAAACCTGTTGATTGGAGTTTAACCTTTTCCAATTTATTCTTTCATAATTGCTGTTATTCTAGCCTGGTTGCTTCATCAGCTTGAAAAATTACAAAAACCTTTAACAACTGCTTTCCATTTCCTTTAATGTGCATTACACATTAGAGATGGGAGCATTAAAAAGAAGTGTGAAAAGACTAACCCACTAAAGTTTGGGCTGGTCCTGAAATTTGCCACTCCCTTCCCTCCCCGTCACACTGCATATTGTTAAATGATTTGGGATGAATAACTAATTTAATTCTACTTTAAGGTAAGAAATTGGAATATGTTACAAATCATTCTGTGCTAACACTTTTTCTGGATGTGGTTGATATTTACTGCATTTATTTTTAAAATATTTGTTTCAGCTATGAATTTGTGAAATACCTTAGACAGCATATATACAGCACGTTGGGGTCTATGATTGAAGAAGAAATGGAAAAATGGACATCTGATCAGAGTCAGGGTGAGGAGTCTGGCTATGACACAGTTGTACAGCATGTTACTAAGAGAACTCAGGAATCTAAAGAGTGAGTATGCCCTCAATAATATTTTAAAATAATTTGTCTCTCAACACGGCTCCTTGAAAGCCCTCCTAACCCACACCCCCACAGCCTGTTTTCCTCACAGCAGCCACAATGGTCCCTTGAAACAGTGAGTCAGATTGTGCCACTCGTCCACATAACACTTTCCAAAGGCTTCTCATCTCATTCTTAGTAAAATCCAGATTCATCTGTAGCCAAACGGCCCGCCATGAGCTTTCTGCTCCCTCTGCTACCTCATTTCCTATCATATCCCCTTTGACATTGTGCCAGTCACACTGGTCTTGTTCTTTCTCAAACAAGCCAAGGGATTTTTACTCCAGTTGCTTCTGCTGCCCTTTCCTAGTTATTTGCATGGCTTATTCCTTTACTTTTCTTTAATAGACTTTACTTTTTAGAGCAGCTTTAGGTTCATAGAAAAATTGAGCAGAAGGCTCATATTTCTTTCTCATAGGCCCACTGTTCTTACAGAGGCACAGACTTCCCCGTTATCAACATTCCCCACCAGAGAGGTACATTTATTTCAATTGAGGAACCTCCATAGATGTGTCATTATTACCCAGAGTTTGCGGTTTGCATTAGTGTTTTCTCTTCATGTTGTGTATTCTCTGGGATGTGGACAAATTTATAATGCCATGTACTTAGCATTATAGTATCTTACAGAGTGGTTTCACTGCCCTAAAAATCTGTACACTGTCTATTCACCCCTCGTCCTCCCAACCTCTGGCAACCACCGATCTTTTTTATTGTCTCTATCGTTTTGCCTTTCCTTTTCCAGAATGTCATATAGCTGAAACCATACAACATAGAGCCTTTCCGTTTGGCGGCTTTCACTTAATATACACTTATGTTTCCTCTATGTCTTTTCATGGCTTGACAGCACATTTCATTTTAGCACTGAGTAATATTCCATTGTCTAGATGTACCAGGCTTCCTGGATACTTTTAAGCTTTGGCAATTATGAATAAAGCTGCTATAAACATTGCAAGCAGGCTTTTGTGACAACATATGTTTTCAGCCCCTTTGGGTAAATACCAAGGAGAGTGACTGCTGGATCATATGGTAAGAATATGTTAAGTTTTGTAAGAAACTACCGATTGTTTTCTAAAGTGTCTGTACCATTTTGCATTTTCACCAGCACTATATGAAAGTTTTTTTTTAATAGGTAAAATAAATCTTAATTTTTTCAACTCAATACCTTCAAATTAAGAACAAACATAAATTTGCCTTAAAAAGTCCTATATTGTTTCTAGGCTCGGATATTTGTTAAGTGCAAATATGTTATTTACATGTGTTGACAATTTAGAGACTTGAAATACTCTGTATAGAAAAAATTAAAGCTCTGAATAAAAAAAGGTTTAAAGTATGTTACATATATTACTCATATAAACAAACTCATTAGGTAACTCATATTTTCTTTTTTCCTCACCAGTCACTAAATTTTTAAATCACATTATATAGATGTCTAAACTTGTAGTCACACACATCATTATAAAATAGATGAAATATAAATGTCAAGTTAAATTGAACCTTAACTTTTCCATAACACCCTTCTTCCATCCATCATAAAGTCACTCAAATTTAAATTTCTGGAAAACCCGTAATAGCAAATATTAAGGCTTGCCCACTTCCCCCAAATTTTTATAATGCAAAGTTACATTTATTAATTTGCATTATTAATAGTATCTTCTTTCCTTTCCTGAGATAGTTTATGCTTCCTTTCTCCTGTATTTTATCGATACTCAAGTAAGTCTTTTGGAGCACTTTGGTTATTACTAGATGTTTTTAGAGGCCACATTAGCAAATTAAGCCTAATAAATGGATATTTATTAAATTTATGCCTCAGGACCCTGAACAAGACAATTCCATATGAAAGAGAATAAAATCACTTTGCATTCTAACATTCATGTGTTATTTGATTGCTTATCGTCACTTTAAAATTGATGATTAACTAGTTTGTCTTTATACTGGAACTTTCTGAAAGGTAGATGAATGGTGTGGACTTTTAAGTGTTCATTCTTTACTTGAGAATTACCCTTAATATAATCATGGAATGAGAATATTTTTATATTAGTAGTTATGCTCATGTGCCATTGAACTTAATTTTTGGAAATTGAGTAATTTTTTCTGTGTGAATATTATATTTATTCAAGATATTGGAATTTGGGAAGAGCAAAATTCTGTGAAATATTTTAGTTTATGCTTAAATGCATTTGTTATCCTGCAGATCATGAAAGAACAGGAGGGTGTGCTAAAATTTTGATAACGCTAATGCACCCTGCTTATGTGCTGGTGATTACTGAAGAATTTACACTTGAAGTGGGGCACTTGCAAAGTGAATAGCAATTGGTATATGTGTCCTGTCTTTGATTTTAATCCAAATCACTGTGGGCATGGGGTTGCATTATGAGCAAGTAGATTCAGAATTTAACATCCAAATGCATTAAAAACTAAATTACGTTCATGTAAAATGAATATGTTCCAAAAACTTTCTGACCAGATATGTGGAAGTTTGAGCTCTGGCCCTGATATCCAGGCCTCTTTGCAGAACAGAGCAACATCACATCATCTCTCTGTAGATTTCATTGTCAGCAACTGGAACATTGTTAGTTGAATAGTTGTAGCAAGTCCTGATCTTGCACAATACTGAAGCAGTTTCCTCAGCACAATAGAAGCATTTCCATGAGTCTGTCTTTAAGATTTGTTCTGTGGCATCAAGGTAAGACCATGTAAGGTATGGTTAGAGGCTGGAAGTATAAGAACGCCAGCGTGGTCGGGTGAGGGCCCTTTTCCAGGGAGAAGACTTCTTGTATCTTCTCTTGACAGAATAATATGCAAGTTCTTGTTTTTCTACTGACTCACTAGCGTTTGATGTTGTCAGTGTTCTAGATTTTGGCCACTTGTCATAATTCTGACTTTAGCAATAAATCATTTTGTCTTTTCTCCTCTCTGATCTGTTATATACTCATTGCATATTTAATAAGTAACAACTATATATTAGGTATTGGATCTTGGGAATATAAAGATGACTTACTCTCCAGTAAGTCATAATGTATTTGGGAGTTTGACATGATACTGAAATACCGGGTTGGCCAAAAGGTTTGTTTGGTTTTTTCATAAGATGGCTCTAGCAGTGCTCAGTTGTCTTAAACTTCATTCAAAACAATTTTATTAGATTGTATTGTTACAGCTGGCATATCAGTGTGCATTAAAAAAAACACGTCAAAATTGGTGAATTTTTGTGTAGCCATTTTAATATTGAAGATGGAAGGAAATAAGCAATATCTTCGGCATATTAAGCTTTATTATTTTAAGAATGATAAAAAACACAACTGATATGCAAAAAAAGATTTGTGCATTGTATGGAGAAGTTACTGAGGCGGATCAAACATATCAAAAGTGGTTTGTGAAAATTTGTGCTGGTGATTTCTCGCTGGACAAAGACCAGTTGAAGTTGATAATGATCAAATCGAGATATTAATTGAGATCAGTCAATGTTTTACCATGGGGGAGAGAGCTGGCATATTAAAAATATTCAACTGGACTAAGACCAGTTGAAGTTGATAGAGATCAAATCGAGATATTAATTGAGATCAGTCAATGTTTTACCATGTGGGAGATAGCTGGCATATTAAAAATATTTAACTTTAGTGTTGAAGATCATTTGCAAAATTTAGTATGTTAATTGTTTTGATGTTTGGGTTCCACATAAATTAAGTGAAAAAAACCTTCTTGACTGTATTTCTGCATGTGATTCTCTACTTAAACTTAACAAAAACATTCCCTTTTTAAACAAGATGTGACAGGCAATGAAAAGTGGATACTTTATAATAATGTGAAACAGATGAGATTGTGGGGCAACCGAAATGAACCACCTGCAACCACACCAAAATCTGGTCTTCATCCAAAGGTGATGTTGTGTATCTGGTGGAACTGGAAGGGAGTCTTCTATTTTGAGCTCTTTCCAGAAAATCAAATGATTAATTCGAACAAGTACTGCTCCCAGTTAGACCAAGTGAAAGGAGCACTTGATGAAAAGCATCCAGAATTAGTCAACAGAAAGCACATAATCTTCCATTAGGATAATGCAAGACCTCATGTTTCTTTGATGACCAAGCAAAAACTGTTACAGCTTGGTTGGGGAGTTCTGATTCATCCACAGTATTCACCAGACATTGCACCTTTGGATTTTCATTTACTTCAGTCTTTACAAAATTCTGTGAATGGAAAAAATGTCAGTTTCCTGGAAGACTGCAAAAGGCACCTGGAACAGTTCTTTGCTCAAAAAGATAAAAAGTTTTGGGAAGATGGAACTGTGAAGTTGCTGGAAAGATGGCAGAAGGTAATGAAATGAAGTGGTGAATACACTGCTCAATAAAGTTATTGGTGAAAATGAAAAATATGTCTTTTATTTTTACTTAAAAATCAAACAAACTTTTGGCCAACCCAATAGAAATGTGAAAGAGATAGTTTCAACACAGTATGGTAAGTATCATGATATATGCAAAATATAGAGGAAGAGTATATTAATTAGAATATACATTAAACAGCTACAACAAATAGACACCAAAGTATAGTGCTTCAAAGAAGGCAGTTTGTTCTCTCTTATATAACAATTCAGAAGTACACCAGTGCAAGGTAGGTGGGTGGGTCAGCTCCAGGAGTTTATCCAGGGACTCCAGTTCCTTTTGTTTTATTGTTCCATTTTGCCCTGGGGCAGAGGCTGGAAAACTTTTTCTGTACAGGGTCCTAAATAGTTTATGCTTGCAAGTTGTTGCAGTGGGACAACTGACATAAAACTTTACAAAAACAGGTGGTAGGTTAGTTTATGTTCAGAAGACAAATTTTGCCAACCCCTGCCTTGGGTGTTGCCGCCATCTGCATGGTTGAAGCAGCCACACTAACCATACAACTGTCTTTCAACCTGGCCACAGGAAGAGAGAGTGGAAGGTAAGATTCTTTATTCACACACTTTCCACTGACTAAAACTTGGGCATCTGCCCACACTTTTTATCTACAGTAGAGACTGGTGATGATTTGGATACAGACATTTGCTTTGTTAGTTTAGTCTCTGGTCTTGGATGTAAGTGATGTCTCTAGGTGCTTTTTGCACCTGGTTTCTCTTCATGCTGTGCCATCATGATTGTTGTGTATAGTATGAAGACAGATGTGAAGCTTTGAATGTAACTCATTGTTCCAGGGTTAGAAAACTTGGAATATATATCTCAGTTTTATGTTATATACTGGATTTTAAAACATTAAATCTGATTTATTACTTTGGACAGGACTTCTTCCCCTTTAGACAACTGATTATATTATTTGAGTAAATATATTACTGAACAAAGTGAAACTGTACAGCTATTAATAAATTTAGCAAGCTTAAACCACTAATACATATTAAGTAAAAGCCATAGAAATGAAGACTTTTTATTTCTTGGTTAGGAGAAATAATTTCTTGGAATTATTTCTATTTGGGAGAGATATTATTACTCTAGTAGTCTATTTCTGGCAGTTTTATTAAACTTATTTTAAACAGTACTAAAATTCTTTATTAGTCAGAAAATGAAAGCATTTTAATGCTAAGGGTAAAGTTTTATATGTATTATTAAGAAGTTATTTTTTATCTCTGGGTAAGCCATTTAATTTTCTTGTGTTTTAGTTCATCCATATGTAAAAATTAATACAGTAATCACCTCACAGAGACTTTAAAAGTCTTAATGAATGCTTGTCTTCCACGTTGTGAACATGAAAGATTTTGAGTTGTGCAAAGTGTTATTTTCTTTCAATATTTTTTTGTGGTTCTTTAGAAATTACTTAGGGCTAATGTGGCAACAGTGCATCTATTAACAATATTTTTACTATAATAATTACAAATTACTTTCCTAATAAAATATTTTGATATTTATTTTTTTAAATAAAGGTGTACACATGAGTTCATTTGTAGGATCTGTTATATATTTCTCACATATACGTAAAAATACTATGTCGATTTTTATTGTTACTTGGTGTATTTTTTTATTCACTACCTCTTATAGCTTTTTGTTATTTTGACTTCTTGCAGTATAAAGGAATCTTCTCAGTGGTGTCTACATGATATCCTATGTCTGTTTGTCCTTGGCGTTTTAAAAACTGCAATGGCTACTGTTGAGTTATAGCTCATTGAATTCTTGACTGAGGGTGTGGCTCTCTAGTTTCTTTTTCAAAATTATCATTCTTATCTTTTTCTGTGCCAGTTGGCTGATATTTCTCGCAGAGAATTCATGGTGGTGGTTTCAGAAAGGTCTGGAGTAATCATGTCTAAATGAAACAAATTTTCTGTGGATTTTAATTACCCTTACTTTTTCTTTGTAAATCATTGAGACTTACTTTTGTATTTCTCATTAAATCATCATATTGTAACTTTTAAGAGGATAGGACTTTGTTATTCGCTTGACTGTACTTAACTGCAAAGGAGTCTGAGCAGCGTAGTTTAGTCCTATGTCCTGCTATAATTCAATTCCTGTAGAAAGGGAGAGCAGCTTTTGGTAGATAGTTATTAATTGCTTCCAGGGCATTGTTATGTTTTCCTATTTCTTGCTGTTCAGACTTTGTAGAGGAGTAAGCTGGGGATTCCTGGCCCAGTTATCCTATAAGTACTTAACCAGTTAGTCTAATCAGTGTCCTAGGATTCTTTCCTTTTTTCTGGATCCCTTTAGTTTAATCCTGGATCCTCCCTGGATTACCTCACCTCTGTGGCAGTTGTTATTTTGTGTGTTTTCACCCTGTTTTGTCTAATGTAGTCTCACCTTCTTTTCAGTATCTCCATATTTTATCATAATTTTTGGGGCTTTAAAAATGTGTATATGTATAACTATATGTGTTATGTTTATTTAGTTACATATTATGTAAATCATATATTGTTAAATAATATGACTAAATATATATCATATATAGGAATTACATATATTTAATGAGATATAATTTATATCATTTAAAATCTTTTAATTTTAATCTTTAATTAAATTTTAATTAAATTAAAGTTTAATCCTTAAACTTTAAAACTTCAGTCTAGTATTTTTATCCAAATGCCCCGGCATGACTTTATTGCTTTTATGAGAGAGAGAGAGGGTACCTTACCTATCCTTTCTTTGATTTATGCTGTCACAATGACCTATTAACCAGAAATATAAAAAGGAGAATTTCTGTGCCTATTTTCCTAATTTATTGCCATTATTATAGTGATAAACAATAAATATTTATATTGTGCTTTATATGTATAAAGAACTTTCAGATATATGAGGTCTGTCTGGAAAAAGACCAACCATTGCTATTATAATGAGAATGGTTTGTGCAACCGATATAACCTGGCAGCCAAGGGACAGTGGACTGGAATGCACCTGTGTGAACAGTGACGACTTTGCTGTACTAGTCAGTGGGGGTGTTAGGCCTCATGGAGTGAGCATGTGTACTGTGTGGCAGTAGCATTCAAAATGCAATGAGTCTGCATCAAATTTTGTGTTAAGCTTGCACATTCCTCTGTTGAAACTATTCGGATGATTCAGAAGGTTGCAGCTATGGGAAGCTGGTGATTGGCAGCTTAATCACAACAACAGTCCTGTTCATGCATTATGTCTCATGCAGAGTTTTTTGGTGAAGCATCAAATCACTCTGGTCACTCAGCCCCCTACTGCCCAGATTTGGCACTCTGTGACTTCTGGTGTTTCCCAAAACTAAAATCACCTTTGAAAGAGAAGAGACTTCAGACCATTGATAAGATTTGGGAAAATATGAAGGGGTAGCTGATGGTAATTGAGAGAACTCTGTGAGGTTCCAGCATGCCTACTTTGAAGCGGAATGAGATAGCGTTGTCCTATTACAAATTTTCTTGTATCTTGTATCTTCATGAATAAATGTCTCTATTTTTCATATTACATGGCTGGTTGCTTTCTGGACAGACCTTTTATATTCTCAATTATTTCTTGTTAGAGCCATGCAAAATAGGTTTGCATTCCTTTTATTTGTAGTTGAGGGAAACAAAACTTATGATGACAGAGTTGATAGGTAAAGTATTCAGGATTCTAATTCAGGTTTTTTGACTCCAAATTTAGTACTTTATTCGCTATGTTTATTTAAATCTTTACTTAAATATATAGGGGATTAGAACTTTCAATGGTTCAGGTCACATATTATTTGTAAAATAAAGGGTTAGACTAGATCATTTTTATGGTTTCATTTAGTTCTAAAATTCTATTTCTAGGGATGTAGATCTCAGTTGAATATAAATATGAATACTTGAGAGTTTGCAGGTAATAAATGGGGAAAATGTGGTGGTTTTTTTTTTTTTTTTAGAATTTTAGATTCATAGAGCTGAATGGGATCTTAGAAGTTATCCAGCTCATACTCCAACTAATTTCAGGAATCCTTTTTTTAATGTCCCTGATAGTAGATTCTCTAACCTCTGTTGAAGTGGCCCACTGATAGCTTAATTATTATTTAGGTCTCAATTGTGGCTACTGGTGCCTATCGATAGAAAGAATTGGCAGGTCTTAAGGGAAGTAAAGAAAATAGAGGGAAGATAGAGAACTAAAACATGAAAGTTTAAAATAACCTGCATTTTGGTAGTATGATATTAACAGTTGACTTTATTGCTAAATGCTGGAATCCATGTCACTGGAATATCTTGCCTTAGAGTCTGTTAATTTTACTACTTTGGTCCATGTAACCAGGTGACAGAAACCTTGGCAAAACACGCTTTGGGGATTCCTTTTTAATTTTTATAATTGTCATGTGAATTCTGTTGTGCTGTTTGTTCTTTAAGAAAAACTGACAGATATTTTTTATTCTCTTTAGAATTTTATTCTTAAAGGGAGTTTACAGAAAAAGACAGTCAGGTAGTTTAATTTAGTTGAATGTTTTAATTTGTACTAATAGTCTTTTACTAAGACTGTTTTGAATTTAAAGATACAAAGAAATGATGCATTCCCTGAAGAACATCATGATGGTAGTGGTGGAATCTATGATAAACAAGTTTGAAGAAGATGAGATGCGAAGTCAGGAGAGGCAGAAAAAAATGCAAAAGGAGAAAAGCAATAGTTACTGCACAGACAATTGCTCTGATAGTGATTCGTCATTCAATCAGGTATGTTATTAAGTTTTGCATTTATGTCTTGAAATAGTATTTAATAAACGCTAGCTTTAAAACATTCTTTATCAGCTGGATTATTTCTCTGCTTTCTAGTTTTAAGATTCAGAAGAAAAATAAACGATAAAATAACCTAATATTAAAGATTTAATCCATAAAAAACTTCTTCTAGAATTATATATTCAGTGAGTGATTACATTACGTTTGAGGCATAGAGAAAGACTGAAGAAAAGTACGGGAAAGTAAAAGAACAAAAGTTCAAGCAGCATTGTAGTTATATCTAGGGTGCTATTAGTGCCTTCTTTTTTATGTTGTTTTATCTTTCAGTATTATTCATCTCACATTTCTGGGTACAAAACATTTTGGCTTTACGTCTTCTGAGCATTATTATGTTCCTCACATTGCAATTGCTCAGCAAATAATAATAGTTTTCATTTGCACGAAGGTACAGTGTTCTACTGGGACTTTCAGCTCTCATTTAAATGCCTTCGGAAACAAACATTTTATGTTTGCTGCCAAATCAAAATAGATCACTATTTTCCTTCTCCTGTTCAGAATGCATTTTTTTTTTTGCTTGGAATTATATTTGAAAATCATTTTTAGCAGTACTACTAAAAGTGTACTAAATAAATGACTGTTCTGTTGTATTACAGAGTTACAAATTTTGTCAAGGAAAATTACAGTTGATTTTAGACCAGTTGGATCCAGGGCAACCAAAAGAGGTAAGTTTAAAGGATAGCTGTTAAGTTCATGTGTGTGTATGTGTGTAAAGATTATAATTAGAAGCATCTGGGCTCTTCCTCTTGAAGATTCTTGTCTTATTATGACAATGCTTGACTGATAGGCCTGCTAGACTTCTAAGTCTTGAAATGAAAGGTCGAGGAAGGGCGGCTCTCCTTAGAGAATAGTCATGATTTGTATGATGAAATTTTCATTTCTTGTTTCAGTTTTGAAGGGATGAAGTTATAAACAGTTTTCCCCCAAACTGTTCCTGAACTGTTGCTTGTATACAATATTTTAGTGATTTCTTTGAAGAAAAAAAATCATTTAATGTTTTGTCTATTTCTGGAAAATAAATATTCATTTATTAGAAAAATGATTTTAAAGAAGCAGTGCTGTTGAATTGTATCTATACACATTTTAAAAGTTTGTGTAAATTACTGTTTAGGAAGTATTATACATTTGAAAGTTAGGCTGAAGTAGTAAATATGATGGGATTTTCAAGTACCTAAGACTCTTGTCTGTGTCTTGCCATTTGGTCTCCATGAATGGTTATGCTTTACTCCCACCAATTTTCTAAAAAATCACAGAGGGGTAAATTTTTCCTCTGAGAATCTTACATTTTGATTTATTTTTTAGTTTCACAGAAAACACTATTTCCAAAGATGTTGAAATGGGATTTGAATGTTATATGATAACAGTCATATTGTCTTTAGTTTAAGTGATTATTTGGAAATATATACTTGTTCAGAGACCTTATTCTACTTTTGCTAATAGGAGATTCTCAATGGGATTTTGTCATAAAAATTAACTGAAAAGGAAAAATGTTTTTAAAAACTCTTCATAGTCCCTCTAAACCCTATCACAAATAAAGTTGTATTAGGAGTTATTTCATATGAATACATAGACATTTTAAAAATGCACTTGTATTCTGTCTTTTTTACCTAATACTTGAAATCCTGATTCAAAGTCGCTGGTTTCTGAGGTCTCAGCTCTTATGTCTGACTCCTCACCTTTTTTTTTTTTTTTTAAATCTCTTTGTTGTTTCCACTGGGAAAAACCAGGTTTTGAGGAACAGATTAGAATCAGTGTGTTATTACTTACTAGTTGGAGAGTGAATGGGGGAGAAACTTTGTGACGTTTGTAATTAGGGTAGAGCTATTATTTTCCACTGCTGTCCCTTGGGTCACACTTTTTTGAGTGAATTCTGATTGGATTTTGAGAAGAATGATTAAGAAGTAAGCTTTCTGTGAAAATACAGAAATTCAATTTTGCATCATGCTGCTGAAGAACTTTTTTCTACCTCAGTGGTTAGGAAGTCAGAAAATCTGGTGTAACAGCAAAAATAAGTGTAGATGTTTTGGGAGAATTGTTCGTATATCCTGGAATGGGACCACTTCTCTGTTAAAGCCCACAGACTGGAGGAACACCTCCTCAGGTGGGGAAGGCCTGCAGGACAGGCCATGGGACGACTGTGACCTGGTGATTCGGGACCTTCGGCCGCCTTTCTCTCGTCCACATAGGAGAGTCTAGGTCATATGTCTAACACACGTTAGTATTTTTATTTTTGCTTTACATAAAATAACCTATTTTTTTCTCTGTTTAAGAACAAGTTTTAAAATGAGTTCTTACAACAGATCTAGCATTATAGAAATGCACACTTGAAATCTACATGATCCTATTAACCAATGTCACCTCAATAAATGTAATAAAAAATAATTATTTTATAAAATAACATCTGGTTCTCTTCAATGACCTCTTTAAAACGATTACCCAGACTCTGCCTTTCAATGTTTGCTAAAATTTGGAGAATTGGTCTTATTTTATCTAGTAGCTGACTATTAATAAAAATATTTTTACAAATTCCAGGTGAGATATGAAGCCTTGCATATGTTATGTTCGGCTCCACCATCGGACGTACTGAACTGTGAAAACTGGACCACTGTCTGTGAAAAACTGACGATGTCTCTTTCAGATCCTGATCCTGTGTTCAGCGTAAGGAAATGCTTCTAGATATACTAAAGATAATGTTTTCCCTACCAGAAGCAAATGGAATATGATAATGTTCTTTAATAGTAGCTCAAATGCTGGTGAAATTTTACTTCTAGCTTTCGAATTGTGGAGATTTTTTAAAAAAGGAATTAACTTACTATTTAATGATTAGATTCAAAGTTCTGTATGGTCAGTATCACACTTCATTGACAAATTATAGTAGACTGTGTTGCCATGTACATTTTTTTTAATCTTGTAAAAGTATGTGCAAGTATGCGTCATTGCTTTTGAATTAAAACTATTTGAAAAACTTTTAAAGTGTTTTTGAAAGAATTCATGATACATGAAAATTTGAACTAAAATGATGAATTAGAATTTATTCCAAAAGATTCATAAGAATTATCATTATGCATTTAAGTGTTTATTTAGAGATTTCTTAACTACTTAAAAAGAGAAGTTTGAATGTAAAGCTGTTAGGAGATAATCGAGGTGAATGATTACACAAATACAGAAAATCCCTAAATTATGAAATTATGAAGTCTATAGAAATAAGTGATTATAAAAAGTAATTTTTATATAACTTCTCAGGGATACTTAGTGTATAATTAAAGTTAAGGTGATATTGAAAAATGAAGTAATTCTTGGCTATCTATGACATGAATTAAAAGAAATCTCGACTGTATCCTAGCACAATGTTTAAATACAAATTAGTTTTTTTTTAAAGAGTCTTTTTCTTCATAATTGATATGCCAGTGAAGAAAAATTTTGCTTTAAAATTGATAGTGTTTTTATAGAATTTTTGAGGCATTAGTATAGAGTTAAATATTTTTTAGCTGTTGAATGAATATTTATTGAATACCTACAGGGTGCATCATTCTAGTTTAAATGCAAGGCACACAGTGTCAGCAAGACAGTGATCTACCTTCATAGAGCTTACATTCTAGTAGAGAAGATAGTAAACAAACAGCTATAAAGACTCTCAATACATTTATGTGTTTAAAATCTTTTCCATCAGTAAAGATTTATTAGTAAACAAGAGTGGTTTGTAAACAAGTGGTTTGATATTTTTAAAAGGGAGAAAAAGCTGTTTAATTACCTGATACCTGGATACAGTTCAACCTTACTAACACCAGAAGGCGATGCAGACTTCCATAAACAAATTCAAAAACTGAAAAACCAAACTCAGTGATTCAAGAACTTCAAAGGGGAAAACATTTTAGGTTCACCTTTAATACTTCAAGGCTCTCTAACAGCAAATATAGTTGTAAATTTCTCTGTATTTTTCTTTTACTTAACAATGACAGAATAGTAATCAGATAAGTTTCCTTTAATTATTTTAAAAAATTATATGGCAACTTTATAAACATAGAAAAGATCCTAATGGGTCAGTATAAGTGGCTTTATTTAGCCACCATAGATTACTACGCAGCAAGAGTCAGTGTTAATAATTAAGTTAAAAAAATTGGAAGAAGTTGTTAAAAAGGGGGAATGGTAATAGAACCAATCATTTTGGAATAGAAAACAGGCATAGTATTTTTTTCATTTTGAATTTATGCTTGATCCAAATTCTTTTTGAGTTTAATTCTGTTTCTTCATTTCCTACTCTGAAGGACTTTTAAGGTATAACTGATTGAAGTCTATAGAGTTTGAAAGGTGTGACAGATACTGATCAATTGCAGCAACTATAAAAATAGGCTTCCCAAGTAATTTAATATTATGTGTTTAGCAGGAATTTCTTGGAGTTATTAGAAAATATTTTAGTCATTTGTGTAACCCTGTTTTGTTAGCATACCATTCTAATATTTGATATTGGTAAAGTTATTCGTTTTTTTCCCTCAGAGTAGAACATTTGAGGCAATTTTATGTTTTTATTTAGTGGGAAGTTGAACCTCACTATTAGGACTAATTTCATCTCATTATTAAAGTTGATATTATTAAAATGATAGTAATAGCTATCATTTTTAAGTACCTGAAAGTGCCAGGTACTGTTCAAACTACATCTGTTATCTCATTTAATTCATTTACCTAGTGATAGTTTTTATTTTAAGTTTTAATAAAATTCTGAAAGTATATTTTTACATAATACTTTTCCTTGTGAGGAGGCAAGATTATTAGAATCCTATATATCTAATTACTGAGACTACCCATGTAAGCAATTAAATAAAAGGCCACAAATGTTGGACTCAGCAAGGAGTGTTATTTTTTTTACGTTTAGTGATCCTACTGTTTCCTTGACACCGTTACATTGTACGCTTCTCTGTCAAACCTCACCACTCGACCCATTTGTATCTGTTGTGAGATTTTACAACAATATACTGCTGTCTTTAATTTACTATTAGTTTTAGTCAGTGTTACTTTTTTCTGATCAACACAAGAATGTACCCTTTTTAAAATAGGTACATTTCTACACAAGTTTTATTATTATTATTATTTATTATTGAATTTGTTGGGGTAACATTGGTTAATAGGACCATACAAGTTTCAAGTGTATCTTTCTACAGTACATGATCTGTGTATTGCATTGTCGGCCCACTACCCACAGTGAAACCATGTATTTGGCTCCCTTTACCGTTCTCACTCTTCCCCCCCGCTTCCTCTGGTAACCGCATTACTGTTTTTCTGTGTCTACGAGTTTCTGTTTTATATCCCACTTAGGAGTGAAATCATATGGTTCTTAGCTTTTCCTGATTGATGTATTTTGCTTAGCATAATATTCTCAAAGTCCATCCGTGTTGTTGCAAATGGCAGTATTTCATCTTCTCTCATGGCTGAGTAGTGTTGCCTGTACCACATCTTCTTTATCCAGTTCTCTATTGAAGAACACTTTGGTTGTTTCCATATCTTGGCCACTGTGAATAATGCTGCAGTGAACATAGGGGTGCATATATCTTTGTGAAGAAATGATTTTCGCTTTTTTGGGTAGATACCCAGAAGAGGGTTGCTGGGTCATATGGTAACTCTATTCTTAACTTTTTGAGGAATGCCATTCTGTTTTTCATAGTGGCCGTACCAGTTTACATTCCCTTCTGCAGTGAATGAGAGTTTCTTTTCCTCCACAACCTGTCCAACACTTGTTACTACCTGTCTTGTCAATAAGAGCCATTCAGACAGGAGTGAGGTGGTATCGCATTGTAGTTTGATTTGTATTTCACTAATAGCTAGTGAAGTTGAATATCTTTTCATATATCTGTTGGCTATTGGTGTGTTTTCTTGGGAGAAGTGTCTGTTCAGGTCTTCTGCCCATTTTTAAATTGGATTGTTTGTTTTATGTTCAGTTGTATGAGTTCTTTCTTTATTTTTGATATTAACCCCTTGTTGGAGCTGTCGTTTGTGTATGTCATCTCTTATTAACTTTATTGCCTTTTTGTTTTGTTGTTGGTTTCTTTTGCTGTTTAGAATCTTTTTTAGTTTGATAGAGTCCTGTTTATTTATTTTTGCCTTTACTTCCCTTGCCTTCAGGATCAGATTTATAAAATGTTCTCTACAAGCAAGGTCCATAAGTTTAGTATCTATATTTTCTTCTATGTAATTTATTGTTTCAGATCTTATATTTAGGTCTTTAATCTATTTTGAATACATTTTTGTACATGGGGACAAACTGTAAGCTATTGTAATTCTTTTGCATGTGGGCTTCTAATTTTATTGAGGAGACTTTTTTTGTTTTTCCATTGTGTGTTTTTGGCTCCTTTTTCAAGAATTGTTTTCCCATATACCTCCTACGCAAGTTTCGGGATGATTTATTTTCTAAGTTTTTTACTACATGAAAAATTATTCATCTCTATTCAATTTTTTGTAAGAATTTTTTATGTAACTCTTTTGTTTTATTTCCATAGGACCGGATTTTAAAATTCTATGCACAGACGTTTACCCTTTCACCATTACATCTGACAAAGGAAATCTATACAAGCTTAGGTGTGTTTGTTAAATCATTTTTAAAATGTTTTTTTCTTTTATTTGTATTTAAGAAAAATAGGTCAGAAATAACTTTTTTTTCAGAAATCACTACAATTGAGTGGCATACTAGTCATATATATATATTATTTTCACTTTCAGCTAAATATTTGGAGTTATACTTTCTCTCCAGAGAAAATCATATTCCTCCTGTTTCAACTGGCATAGATATAACTAATACTAATGTGATCCGCTTACTTAAAAAGGTATTCATTTGCTCTAATGTGCTTTTATTTTTATTTAAATAGTTATATATTTAAGAATTCTAAGTTTTTGGGAACTGTTATACCCTGCTTTACAGGTTCGTCTTCTAAATGAATATCAGAAGGAGGCGCCATCTTTCTGGATTCGTCACCCTGAGAAGTCAGTCCCCTAATATATGACAACAAAAAATATGGAAGTATTACTGTCCCACATACAGTTTAAAGAGAAAGAATAGAGAGTGTCTTAGTTGATTTATGTGATTAGGAAGGTATTAATAAAGTTTTATTTTTTAGCTATTCATGTTTTGTACTTAGTTTTTTGAATGGCTCTATGCTGGTATCATTTTGCATCATTTATTTATCACCATAAGGTAAAAAGAAGGTGTTATAACTCCTGGTTCTTTCATTACGGGTCTCTGCTACTTTGGATAAGTTCCTTAAGGGTTCTTTTAAACTTTTTCCTTTTGGCTCTAAAATGTTTAATAGGGCTCTCAGAGCAACTGTGAGTCTAAAAAGGAAAGCTAAATTTGAAGAGCCAGTGTTGAAATAGAAAGGATATAAGTTTATAAAGCAGAAAAGCCATTTACTGAAATATGAAAAAGTAGTTTCTAAAGGATACTTAGCACTATCATTTCATAAATACAAAATGTATCACCAGTTATACACACACACATACACACACAGAGATAAGTTTATGTATGTGTATATATATGTATATTTATGTATGTGTGTGTATTTAGCATTTGTTTTTTCTTTCCCAAACTTTAAGGTATATGGAAGAAATTGTGGAGAGTACTTTGTCCTTATTATCAGTTAAACATGATCAGAGTCACCTTGTCTCACAAAAGATTTTGCATCCCATCTACTTTCTTGTACTGGTTGATACCAAGGCTGTGTGGTTCAAAAAGTGGATGGTAAGAAAAAATAAAATAAGTTTTTCTACTTTTCAGTGCATAGCTATGTTTCAAAGAATAGCTGATGTTTGAGTGTTTGTTATGTATTGAGTTATAATCACTTTTATATGTATTAACTAATTTAGTTTTTATAACAATGAATGAGATAAGTGGTATTATTATTCCATTTAACAGATGTGGCAACTGAGGCATAGAGAAGTTAAATGATTTGTTCAAGGTTGTTTATCTAGTAAGCCATAGAACCAGAAGAGAGTTTTAAATGGTAATACATTTGAACATATTAAGCTGAATGACCTATTCAAAACTAGTTATCTTTAGTTTAAAAACCTCAAATTTTTAAAGCAGGTATGGTAGAATGTAAGTTCAGTGCTCATTTTTCTCTGGTGTTACGTGATATGTCTGAAAATATTCCTTGATTTGCCTCTTCCTGAACCTGCAGTTTGGGAAATGTGTTTAATGCCTGAATGCTGGGGAATTCCTATGGAGCTCATCACTGTCTTCGAAGTGAAATTAACACTAAGAGTAAAGAGATCCTACACTGTTTCCTCCCTCATCTGCTGTTGAGTAAGAGTGGCCAGTGTCTGGAAGTAGTAGCAGCAGTGTTCCCTTATGTTCCCACGTCTTTGTCCCTTTCAGCTTGTCTACTGAGCATTATGTATATGTAGGGAAGGGAGAAGCTGGGCCCATGACTTGCCATGCAAAGTAGCGAGACATTCTTTTATTGCTTAGCACAATTTGGACATTACCTAGCTCATGGATTCTTCTTCTTCTTCTTCTTCTTTTTTTTGCTTTGTGTTATCTAAACTGTATAATAGTGCCCAATTAACCAAAACACAATTCTGTCCAGTGCTTAACCCTTGCATAGCCTATCTAGTATTTGTTGATAAATATTTGCCTAATCGAACTAACCTGAACCTTTTGTTTCTCACATGAGTCTGACCTTTTCCTTAATTTTTTTGATGATCAAATCACAACATTATTATAGGAAATATGCAAAATATGTAAAAGCACAAATAAAATTAAAATTCTCTAAGTCTACAACGCAGGATAACAACTATTAAGATTTTGATATATTTATTATATGTACTTTTAAATTTATGTTTTTCTTAACAAAAATCATGTTTTACTAACTATTTATAACTTTTTCACTTAACGTTTTTATTGTCATTACTTGATTCTTAAGAGAATAAAGAAGATCACAGGAACTAACCAATGGAAAAATTACTAAAAATCAGCTCTCCAAGTGTGTTCTAGTATTGATGAAAATTCATCAGATTCTCCTACACCCTCTAAGGCAGTGGTTGCATTATATAAAGGGCCATGTAGGAAATATTTTTAGCTCTGTGGGCTGTACTGTCTCTATTGCAGCTTCTCAACTTTCTTTTGTGGCCCTAAGCATCCATAGATAATATAAAAATGAATGGATGTGACTATGTTCCAATAAAACTTTATTTACCAAATCAGGTGGCAGCTGAATTTGGCCTGAGGGCTATAACTTGGTTACTGTGGTCTGAAGGATGCACTATGATATTTTTTTTATCAGAACATGGTCAATAGTTTAGTTGTAGGTCAACCTATTTCTTTTATAAACCTGAAAATTATTAATGGTTTTGAGAACATTTTAAGCTATGATGGTTAAAAAACACAGGATTTGATTAACCCTTGATCAACTAAAATCCCATTTAATTAAACTCTCTTCCCCAGAATTCTGATAGTTCTTACTGAATAGCATTCTGTTTGCTAATTTTTATTCCCAAATAAAATGAAGAAACTACATTGAGCACCGATGATATCTAACATTAATTTAGTTAAGTAATACTTACGTGTATTTTCCCCTTGCTTTGTACAATGCATAAGAAGCATATTTTAATCACATCTATATTTAGCTCTAAGGAGAAAATTAAAGATTTTTGGCACTTTGAAACCTTTAAAAATATGATTGGCAGAGCATGATTATGATACTGTCCCTTCAGAGCATTTCAACATTGTCAAATTTTGGTGTATATAGACAGTACAGTATCCTCTACAGTTTGGGAGTTGTGCTGTCCACCCTCAGATCCTCTTTTGTATTCGTCTTTAGGCTCTGTCTTATACTGTTTTAGTCAGGTTTTTTTGATGGAGGTTTTAAAATAGCTTAGTATGGAGACTGGTCACAGTTGGAAGATAGAATGTTTTTTTACTGGTCAGTCAGTAAATCCAGTTTTTTGATACAATTTGGACTCTTGTGATTGCTATGCCCATAACCTATTACACAGAGAAAAACCTGTTTGGCACTGATTACAATAATTTGAAACTAAGTTATTATGTAATTTATGATAATATTGGAAATGATGCAGGAAAAAGATTTTGAATAGTATAGCTTGAATATTAAATATCATTTTTTTTCTCCTAATTTTAGCATGGCTATTATAGCAGAACTGTTGTACTAAGACTTCTTGAAAAGAAATATAAATCTCTGGTAAGTCTATATATGTTATGTTGAGATATAATATCACAAAAAGATATGTATTGTAATAACTTGAACATGCAAAGTTGAGTGATAATTATTGGATAATGAAGGAGTCCGCCTTTTATGTGATTTTCAAACTACCATTCTCTGAAACATAAAAGGATAATGGTAGAGACTTAAACTGCGGTTAGGATAGCAAGTAGGAAATACATAACTACACAGTAGTTTTGGATGCTAACAAGCAGCTTTGAGATATAAACCACATTTTTAAATATTATCATGTAATTTCATTTATATCAGTTATTTGTAAGGGAGTGAGTTCTGTGAAATATGTCCATGCTATTGACTTAAAGTTGAATGAAAAAACTCAGAATGATTTTTGATTTTACATTTGCAAAATTGATTCGAGTTACACCAAATAGAAACTAGTACTGTAAAATTTAGTACCATAATTTTTTACATTTATTGCTCTTAGTAGAACAATATGTAAGGGCAGTTGACAGAAATGAAAAGAAATCAGCAATTCAAATAGTTGTGACAGATGAAAAATATGAAATTTATTAAGATATTTAACAAATTATACTAATGTGACTTTGAGATGGTAACTGTGGTTTATGTAGTTAGAATCTTGAGTTTAGAAGTCAGGTGAAGGAAAAGATTCATAGAATTGTGAATTTTTGGGTGAATGCAGTAGAGCGTAAAATGAAAGAGAACAGTAATTGTTTTGTGTTTGAGAATCAAAAGAATTGGGTTTCAGAAATGAGAAGAAGGATACTGAAAAAAAGAAATGGAATTTATTTGTAGAGGTAATAGGCGTTTAAAAATCTTTAGACAAACTGAATTGAAATAAAGTCTTTCCACATCTCATTACTCTTCCCTTCCCATTTGAAAGGAAAAGTTGTTGTTGCCATATAATCATAGATCTTGTTAGAATAGCTAAAGGAGAAAAAGCAAAGACCAGCGTGATTTTTCCTACCTGTGGTTTGGCATACAGATAACTCACTGTTGCTTTCACATAGACCCCGATGGAAGCATTTTAAATGTTTTGTTTTTTTATAGATTAACTCTTAAAATCTAACCCTTACTTGAAAAGTTAATTATGCTATCCCCAATTTTTAGCCTGCATATAGCTACTTCATTTTAAACAATTTTAATATTTTATCAACTTGGCCAAATATTTTATTTCATGTACATTATGGGTAAAACTTGCATGGGATTTCAACTTAAACCTGATTTTTCTTAAAAAGTTTTTCTAATTTTGTAAAATATCAAAAGGTTTTTCATGCAGACTCACACACACACGAGGGGAGACCCCCAAATAACCGGAATTATCTTCTGGAGGGTGGGCCCCTTATAATACAGGCTTTCCCCATCAGGTGAGTGCTCTAGGCGCCCATCTGTTATCGGTGCACCAGCTGGTGTTGTTGTGAGAGGTTGCGTTCAGTTTCAGTGAATTTTTTTGAAGACTCTTTCAGTGCATTTGCCCATTTCATGATGGGTGATTCACCAGTGCACCCGCCCACACAGTGCTGAGTGTTCAGCAGTTTTTGACCCAAAACAACATGACTCCCTTGCCCCACCCTCCCTATTCACCCAATCTCGCCCTGAGCAACTTTTTTTTTTAATTTCCCTGGATGAAAAAAGTCCTCAAAGGCAAACGTTTTCCTGATGTGGAAGAGATGAAACAAAAAATGGCAGAAACACTAAAAGGCATCAAGATCGACGAGTTCAAAAACTGTTTTGAGCAGTGGAAAAAAAGTCTCGATAGGTATATTGCATCAAATGGAGAGTACTTTGACATTAAGTTTAAAGATATTAAGAATAAATACACATTTTAAATTAAAGAGAGACGTGGTTCAGTTTTTGTGTAGAAACATTGGGAAAAAATGGATATAAAAGCTATTTATTCCCATTTTCAGAATTAATGATCAGATTTTGTACATGTACAGTGGAGACTTTGAACAATTCCATGTATTTGTCTTTTGTTCTGTAAGAGATCCTCTCATAAAGACTTTGATCATAGCAGCCTATTTAGCAGGGTGACTTGCTACGGCATCTCTTCTAGTTTCTCTTCAGTGCTGTCGATAACATTTTCTGTGTCAGAGGAATGTCTGCATTGCCCAATAGGGGAGCAACAAGTTCTATCTGTCTCTTGAAAACTTGAAATGTGAATAGGGAGACTGAGACACTGAATTTTTCATTTTATTTAATTTCTCTTTATAACTAATATCTGGTTTGTGGCTACTCTCTGTGATTCCATTTGTTAGACTTATGACATTTATGAGATTTTCAGTGGGTAGCTATAGGCAACAAATAAGTTATGTGTATATGCTGTCATTTTTAAAAGAGATATCTGAGGAAGTTGAGAGCTTTATTTTCATAGTACTGCAAAGTCATGAACTAGTTGAAAAGCATTTTGGCTATCAGCATAAATATTTAACCTTTTATTTTTAACAACTTGAATCTTTGCCCATCAACTCTTAAGGGAATGGCTTCTGAAATGGGTTAATGTAATGCATTTTCTATTTTCCTTGCTCTCACAAAGTCATTTAAAAATATTGACAGTAATTTAAATTCATGTTATTTAAATTCTCAGTTTGTTTTTTTCTATCATAGGTTCTTCCTACCACAGTATATTTTTAGTACCCCCTCTCTACCCCCTCGTCTTGATATATATTGATATGCAGGAGAATAAGTATCAGATTAGATCCTAAATTTTACAGCAAATTTCTATCTGCCTGAGATTTAGGATAATCATTCTTTATACCTTCAATTGGACTCTTTAGTGTTTAAATTTACCAACTCTAGATCTGCTTTCTGCTCCTGCATTTTAAAGGAATATATTATATGATGTGAGTGTTTCTCTACTGAGGTGGTAACTTTTTCTCTGATTGTTACTTTTTCTCAAGTAAGATGTGACACATTTAAGAAGCCAGCGGAAGGACTAGTAGGAACAGAAGTGGGTGTAAGTGAGTTGTGAAGGTAAAGCTAGGTAGAAATAAGTGTGAGGACAGTGGGCTTCTCAAGGTTTGAATGAAAATTAACAGTCTTTGAGAGAGATTATTTCGGAGAGAGTGTTTAGAGTTTTCAGTTAAAAAAAAAAGAAGCTGACTATTCTCTGCTCTTTTCTTTTTCTTTAGAGCTTAAGTGCATTTACTTTTCTATAGTGGCAGTTGTTATTCTAAATCATTTTTTACCGTTGCTTTTTACCAAGGTATGTGTAAAAATTAAGATTGTAAGAGTAAGTTTATCTAGAAAGAGGGAGTTCTATCAGGAAGAGGCCGAGACGTTGACTTAGAGAAACTCACGTCAAACGTGAAACATATCACTACAATTTTGGGCAATAGTGGGTGCTCATAAATGTTGTCTCAGGTTCTGACCAATCAGGAGCTTAGAAGGGGCTATATGATCAATGCCATGGCAGACAAGCCAGGGAGTGTCATAAAATTTTTGTAGGAGTCCAAGGCAATTTGACCAGTTGGTTTTCCACAACGTTTTTGCTGGTAGCTGGTAAAATCTGGGGTGGCTAGCATTGATTCATTGGGTTGAACTATGCCTCCTTCTATTCCCCCCGGGGCACTCAGTAGATGCAAGATAAACGGGAAGTAGACACAGGATAAACAGAATAAAACTGAAGTTAAGACTGTACAGATAGCAAAACAAAACAAGTGAAGAGTAAGGAGGCTAATAGCAAAAATTTTTACCCAATGGTGACTCTCCAAAATGAAAGGTTACTTTGTACAAATTTGTACAACTTTTATTACAAATAGGATAACAAATTTTGAAATGAAAGCTCAAGTGAAGGGAGCTAGAGTTTAGGTTATTGTTAACACAGACTCACATGGTAGCAGATCTGAAGGAATATCAGTTTGGGATTCAAAAGGGGAGGGGCTAGTGAACAACTCTTCTTGTGTTAAGATCTCACTGAATTCTGCTAAGTCAGAGTCTTCAAGATAATCTTCATGGAAGCTGCAGGAATTTTCAAGGATTAAGACCATTTTTCAGAAACAGTGCATAAAGCTGAATTTGTTGCTTACATAAATTAGGCAAATCATATTCTTAATACTGTAGGGTTTGGAGAAAAGCCAAACTCAGGGAGTGATGGCATTCAGAGGGGAGAGCAAGTTTAGCCAATGGTAGAAGAGTGGCAACCCAGGTGGGATTGCTGCTGGCTGGCTGGCTGGGACAAGTATATTTCTAGGAGTGTGTCTGTTACTGCCTTTTTTCAGAAGCAACGGGCTAACACTGATTGCTTGGGTTTCAGATGTAAGTTCTTTGAGATCTTTTGACATATATTGATTTACAAAAGTTTAAACTTGTTCTGCTAGATCCTGTTACCATGTTTACATAGATTTATCATTGATTTATTAAGTAGATTAAAATAATCTGTAAAACAAACGACAATTTTATGAGGATTATGGGTAATTTTTTATTCTTAATGAATGGGTGTTATCCTGGAAAAGCAGTGGGTGTGCTTGAGGTAGTGGTAAGAGAATATTTCTAGGCAATGTAATATCATGTTCAAAGGCTTAGAAATTGGAGAACATGTCCATATGGAAACTGTACATTTTATATGATGACATAGATTGCTAAGAGAAATGTGAATTGGTATTAGAGAAATTTCTTGAAAATTGCTTCTCTGAAAAGTAGTGTTTAGTGGATGAAGGTTTTTTAAACATTCTTGGATGCTTTAAATTGGGTGTGTGTCAATTGACTTCAGGTTGTTTCACTCATGCATGGGGCAGGGCATAATTCCGTAAAAAAGAAAATACTGTTTTTTTAAAGGAAATCTACAGCTCCTTTGCTTTTGCAAGTAACAGTGTTGAGTTTGACATAAATATCAGTTTTGAGTGTGTTTCCAATCTAATTGGTGTGTGCTGATTGATAACAGTTTTTAGTGAATTTGCTTTTGATGAGTTGGTCATTTGGTTGCATGATAGATTGGCTTTTGGTGACTGATTTTTACACAGGTGGTGCATTTCCAAATTTGTTTGTGCCTGTGTGTGTGGTTAGGGCAGGGGCTGTCTTGAGGATAAGATTGTACAGCATCAAATTTAGGAGACTGGCATTTATTCTGAAGGTATGGTAAGTCACTGATAGGTTTTTGAGTACTGAAATAACATCATATTAAGGCTTCAGAATATTTGGAAAATGGGTTTAAGGTGCTAGGTGGAGATAGGACAGAAGTGTTGAGGCAAAAAGATTAGGAAGAGGCTTCTCAGCAATCCAAGCCAAAAGATGACAGAAACATGGATTAGGGCTCTTGACAGAGTGAATTGGGATAAATGGATGGACCTAGGGGTGCCACAGTTAGAATGCAGGATTCATGGAACTTGGTCTTTTGAATGGGGGTCGGGGGTGAGTGAGTTATTTATCGAAATGCATGACTCAGTAAGAGAAAGATAGGAGAGATGGGAAATGTAATGACTTTAGGATTGGTAGATTTGACCATATTTAGTGTGAGATTTAGATTTTGAGGAGGCAATTGTATAGCATTGATCCAAGACCTCCCCCCAGTTTTGATGATTTTCTGGGAGGACTCATAGGACTCAGCATATAGTCATATTCCCAGCTATGATTTATAACAGAAAGAGGATGCAAAGCAAAACCGACATGGGGAAAAGGTGGATTTGGTGAAGTCTGGAGGACACCAAGGTAGGCTTCTCGGGCTTTTTCCAAGTATCGAACTGTGACAGCTCTTGTGAAGTGCAGTCTACCAAAGAAACTCATTAAAGACTGCCCTTTTTTTTTAAAACTGGGGGTTGGTTATGTAGGCACCCTCTGCCTCGCATATGCCAGGACTTGTAGGCTGCAAATTTTTATAATTAATAAGTTATTATTTTATTAGATAACTACAGCAGTTCAGCAGTGTGTTCAGTACTTGGAGTTGTGTGAGACCATGAAAGCCGATGCGATTGTGGGACATTCAAAGCATTGTGGTAAGTATGGTTTTCTCTGTTACATACTTTAAAAAGTGGTACAGGTTATTAATTTAAAAAGCTTAGAAGTAACTCTTTTTTTAAAATAGTTGTTAGTAGCATGGTAAATTATATCATTTTGCTAATGTAAAGTAATTTCACAAATTTGAAATATATACCGTAATTATAGCTTTTTATTTTTCCTTATATTTCCCTCAAAAATTTGGGCCAAAAAGTTCACATTATACATGACAATACAGGTGCCTCTTTGTACTTCTTAATCCCCTTTCTCCTCCACTCATTCCCCAAAAGCCTCTACCGTCTGGCAACCATCAAAATGCTCAGTATCCATAATTCTGTCTCTGTTCTTCTTGTTTGCTTAGTTTGTTTTTTAGATTCAATTGTTGTTACCTATGTATTTATTGTCATTTTATAGTTCATAGTTTGATCTTATATTTTCTTAAATAAGTCCCCTTAACATTTCATATAATAATGGTTTGGTGATGATGAACTCCTTTAAGTTTTTTCATGTCTGAGAAGCTCTTTATCTGCCCTTTGATTCAAAAATGATAGCTTTGGTGGATAGAGCAATCTTGGCTGTAGGTCCCTGCTTTTCATGACTTTGAATATTTCTTGGCCATCCCTTCTAGCCTGCAAAATTTCTTTTGAGAAATCACTTGACAGTCTTAGGGGAGCTCCCCTATAGGTAACTAACTTTTTTGCTCTTGCTGCTTTTAAGATTCTCTCTTTATCTTTCAACTTTGGCATTTTATTTATGATGTGTCTTGGAGTGGGCCTCTTTGCATCCATCTTGTTTGGGACTCTTTGTGCATCCTGGATGTGTATGTCTATTTCCTTCACCAAATTGGGGAAGTTATCTTTCATTATTTCTTCAAACAGATGTTCAGTTTCTTGCTCTTTCTCTTCTCCTGACACCCCTATGATGCAAATAATAGAATGCTTGAAATGATCCCAGAGGCTGCTTACTTTATCGTTCTTTTTTGTATTCTTTTCTCTTCTTTTTGTTCTGATTGTTTGTTTGTTTTGCTTCCTTATGTTCCAAATCATTGATTTGATTTTCAGCTTCATCTACTCTACTGTTGTTTCTCTATAAACTGTTCTTTATTTCACTTTGTATATCCTTAATTTCTGACTAGATCATTTTTGTGTTGTTGAGGTTCTCACTAAGTTCCTTGGGCATCCTCATAACCAGTATTTTGAACTCTGCATCTGATAAATTGCTTATCTCCATTTAGTTCAGCTATTTTTCTGGAGTATTGATCTATTCTTTCATTTGGGCCATTTTCTTTATTTTGGCAGCTTCCACATGATTTTTTCTATGTTTTAGGTAGAGCTGCTATGACTCTCTTTCTTGGTAGCATGGCTTAATGTAGTAGGTGTCCTGTAGGGTCCAGTGGCACAGCCTCCCCATTCACCCAAGCTGGGTACTCAAGGTACTACACTCTTGTGTGGGCTGAGTACACCCACTTCTTGTAGTTGGGCCTTGGTTGCTACTGGAAGGTGAGAGGGAGGGATTTACCCAAGCCTGTCAGCTGCAAGGATTGACTGACCATTCCACCTTCCATCCTCTGTGGAGGATCACCTGTTCAGGGGCAGGATGGTGGTGCTCTGACATGGTCTGTAGCTATTCACTTGGTGCACAGGCTCTGGGGTGTCCTGGGTGGTTCAGGCCAAGGTCAGCCCCCACCTTGGTTTTTCCAGGGCCACCCTGCATGAGCTATAAAGCAATCTGAGATGGCCGCTCCTTGCACTGGGCTTGGACATTCCCAGGCAAAGCCAAGCTGTGAACCTAGGCTGGCTGCTGCTAGTGCTGGGCCTAATTACTGATTAAAATATATCTTTTTTTTTACAGTCAAGATTCTTCTGTATGCCAATGTCTGTATAGCTTTATTATTCCTACTCCCTCTGCCCTATCCATAATCCCTTGCACCAATACATCTTATTTATTGTGAAAAAATAAACTTTGATTTTAAATTTTTCACAAAGGATTTTTTTCCTGTTCTTGATTTTTTCTTATATCACACAGCTTGCCATGTGAATTAGTATTTATCATTCTATTATTTTGTTTGTCAGCTCTCTAAGTAAGTATTAAGTTCTCTGTGAGCATGAAGATACCTTTTTTTTTATCCCCGGGTAAATCTTTATCTAACTCTAGCACGAAAAATGGTTAAACACTGAGAGTTAATGGGCTTCAAAAGCCAGTGTTTTATAGTGCAAGACAAAGTACAGAAACCAGAATTCATTCTTCAAGAGGAAGAAAAAGAAAAAAAAAAGAGTAGATAAGTTTATGTAAACATCTTATTTATAAATTTATAGATTTTTCTAGTTTTTTGATATTAAAATGTTATTATGTAGCACTTCTTTTCCCCTACAACTCTGTCAGCTTTCTATGGCTTTTCTTTCTCCCCTTTCTTCTCAGAAGTGCTTCACTGCATTCTTCTGCCAGGTCTTTAAGACTTTTGTTCTTTATTTTCTTTCAGAGTTTCCTGCCTTCTGTTTCTCAACTTCAGGTTTAACCTTCCATCTTCTCTGGTCCTTAGGAAATTGAGCAGAGAGCATCTGTGACATGAATTGATAGTTCCCATATATTTTTCTAACCTCAGCAGCTCTTTGTGTTGCTTTGGGATCCTTTGAGATGCTCTCTCTCCAGTGTTTCATAATAGCTGCTGCAAGCCTCCACCAGCCTCCTCAAGGGCCCTGCCTTGCCCCTGCCCACTTTTCTCTCAAGAGAAGATCTTGCATCCTACTCCACTAAAAAAAGTGGAACTTTCCAGATATGAATTCCCCAAACTCCCTGCTGCTATTCATACAAATTCACGTTTATATGTCTTTTTCAGTATCTCCTTTCTTTGGGCTACAAAGAAGGGACATCCTTCTGTTCCAAGGTGATCTTTGTTTTTGATTCTGTTTCCATCTGGTAGTCTTTGCTTTTGTTTTAAAACTAGGACATTGCTTTACTTGTTACTGTATCTCCCTTTCTATTGGGATCTTCTCCTGCATCCTCTAAAGCTACTTGTATGTCTTTCATATAAAAAACTGAGCAAGTGCACGTGTACCTTATCTCTCTGCTTCCCTCAGAGAAAATTCTTCTAAGTATTCACTATATACTCAAGCCCCATTTCTTTACCTGTTGTTCACTTTATTTTTCTTATTCATCTTGCAGTCACAGAAATGAGGCTTCTATTTCTGGTGCTCCATGACCTTCCCATTACCAACTTCCCCTCTTTCTTGTCCTCATTCTGCAGCATTTGGCTCTTTTGACCCTTTTCCTCATCTTCCTTGGTACCATTCTTTCTTGGATTTCCTCATTCTTATCCAACAAATTTTTAATCACTAAAAACGCTCTTTTCTTTATATATTTGTACTCACAAAAGTTTTGCTCTTTGTTCTTTTCACACTTTACCTTTTCTTTCTTGGGGGGAGCCATTCACACTCATGCTTTTAAATATTTTATATTTATATGTATATTGTGACTCTGAAATGTTTAAGTCTGTACGCCTTTCTTGAATTCTAGACTCATGTACTCATTATGCTTAGTGTAACTATCTGTGTGCTCCATGAGCATTTTGATATTAAAATATTAAAGACTGAAATTACTTTCTTCTTTTTCTAGACTTTTTTATTAATCCTCTTTAGAATTACTTAAATAGGAGGAAGACACTATGTGCACAGATATTTGAGTTAGGAACCTGGGAATTTTCTTTTCTTTCATGGTTCACATGCAATTCTCTCTTCAGGCATATTGATTTTATTTTCTTAAACATTTATTTTTATTTATTTGTTCTTCTCCATTCTTTTTGCTGATTTTTTTCATGATTTTTTTATGACTCTTATTTCAAGCCCTGACCTTCTTCCATTCATCTTTTATGCTGCCATCAGAATTGGTTTTTCACATGCATGTTTGACTGTTACTTTTCTGCTTAAAACCCTTTAATATCGTCCCACCTGCCTCTATAATAGGGCCTATATTGCTTCTGCAGATAAGTCTACTGTGCTCTGCCATATTGAGCAGACAAAGAAACATGGCCCAAATGAAAGAACAATGAAACTTCCAGAAAAAGAACTAAGTGAAATGGAGACCTATGAAAGACCCTGATACCTGCTAGCCTCTTGTCCCCCCAGCTTGTCTTCCTTATTCTGTGGCTATACCAGACTATTTGCTGTACTCTGAATTAGAAGCCCAGGTTCCTGCTTCTTTATTTTTAAAGTATATTTTATTGATTATGCTATTACAATTGTCCCCATTTATTTCTGCTTTGCTCCTCTCCACCCAGTACTCTCCTTCCCTCCAGTAATCCTCCACCCCTTAGTTCAAGTCCACGGGTTGTGCGTATAAGTTTTTTGGCTTCTCTATTTCCTATACTATTCTTAACCTCTCCCTGTTTATTTTGTACATACCAATAGTGATTCTTAGTACCTGTACCTTCCCCCACCCCTTCTTCCCTCCTTCCTCCTCCCAACTGATAATCCTCTATGATCTCCATATCTATGATTTTGTTCCTGTTCTAGGTGTTTGTTTAGTTTGTTTTTTAGATGCAGTTGTTGATAGTTGTGAGTTTGTTGTCATTTTATTGTTCATCGTTTTGATCTTTTTCTTAGATAAGTTACTTTAACATTTCATATAATGAGGACTTGTTGATGATGGACTCCTTTATCTTTACCTTGTCTGGAAAGCACTTTATCTGCCCTTCCATTCTAAATGATAGCTTTGCTGGATAGAGTAATCTTGGATGTAGGTCCTTGCTTTTCATCACTTTGAATACTTCTTTCCAGCCCCTTCTTGCCTGCAAGGTTTCTTTTGAAAAATCAGCTGACAGTCTTAGGGGAATTGCTTTGTAGGTAACTCCTTTTTTCTCTTGCTTCTTTTAAGATTCTCACCTTATCTTTAATCTTTGGCAATTTAATTATGATGTGTCATGGTGTGTTTCTCTTTGAGTCCAACTTGTCATACCTTCCTGAACTTGTATGCTTATTTCCTTCACCAGATTGGGGAAATCTTCTTTCATTATTTTTTCAAATAAGTTTTCAATTTCTTGCTCTTCCTCTTCTCCTTCTGGCATCCTCATGATTCAGATGCTGGCACTTTTGGAGATGTCCCAGAGTCTTTTTATTCTCTCCTCATTTTTTTTTTGAATCCTTGTTTCTTCATTCTGTACTGGTTGACTGTTTATTTCTTCCTTATGTTCCAAATCATTGACTTGAACCCTGGCTTCCTTCCCTTCGCTATTGGTTCCCTGTGGATTTTTCTTTATCTCACTCAGTATAGCCTTCATTTCTTCCCTTATGCATTTTCTGTACTCGGTGAGTTCTCTGAGCATCCTTATCACCAGTGTTTTGAACTCTGCATTTGATAGATTGTCATTCTCTATTTCGCTTACTTCTTTTTCTGGAATTTTTATTGTTCTTTCATTTGGGCCATAGTTCTTCATCTCTTCAATTTGGCAGCCTCCCTGTGTTTGTTTTTGTGTATTAGGTAGAGCTGCTTTGACTCCCTGTCTTGGCACACCTGTTGCTTAGTAAGGGGCGGAACCTTAGGATTCACCAGGGCAGGGTAACCCGCTTCACTGCTTTGTGGCTCTGAATGTGGGGGAGGGGTCAGAGAGGGATCAATGTTGCTTGCTTGCCACTTGCCCCATTTTCTGTGATTTCACCCACTTCTTGCATGCACCCCCCCTAGCTGTTGCTCTGTGGTGGTTCCCAGAGTACGTGGGTTTGCACGTGTTCTGGGATCTGAAAGACTGACGATTTCTTCTACCACCGCCCCAACTGTCTCTGGATTTTTACAGCCAGAAGTTGCGAGGCTTTATTTCCACGTGCTGGAACCCTGGGCTGCACAGTCTGGCCTGGGGCTGGAATCACTCACTGGGATCACCTCTTGGTTTCTATTTGCCACACATGAATGTAGGACAGCCTGTTCCGCCAGCTGCAGCTGTCACTGCCTTGCTGCCGCCGCCTGGCCCCCGCCACACCACATCATCTCTGCTCTGGCTCCCTGGCTCCGCCCCTCCTCCTCATCTGGATGCATATTTATTTTTTAAATCCTTGGTTGTCAGATTTCCCTACAGTTAGATTTTCTGGGAGTTCTGGTTTTTTGTTTTGAGATTAGTCATGATCCTTCTTAAGGTTGTGCAAAGAAGGGAGGCCTGTTTCCTATGCCTCCATCTTGGCCATCCAGTTTCTTGCTTCTTATTGGTTTTTGAGACTGGTAAATAGTTTAAGATCTCATATAAAACAGGCACTCAGATCATGAATGTATGGATGAATGAGTGAACATATATTAGATAAATATATTAGAAGACTTATATATTTTAGAGATTCTAATTTCATTTGCTCACATGTTATAAATATGATCTTTTGTAGCATTGAATTTTAATTGGTAAAATTAAACACTAATGTTTTCTATTGATTTCCTCTCTCCATTAACTTGAAGTCTTTCTTGATGACAGATGATACCTCTGACAATTTTAGTGTACTTTTTTTTAGAATGAACACTATATACATATTAAATTTTTATGAGTTGGTTAAATTTTATAATGAATGCTTTTCTTCAGAGAGTTGGGTGTCAAGGGATCTTAGGAAACAGTAAGGAAAAAAATATTTTTAAATTTACACGAAGTATCTGCATTATAGACTGCAAACTTCTTTAATGTTTAGAAGGTAATGATGACAGGAACTATAATATATAATGGCATTAAAAAATGTAATTGTTTGCTTCTTTCTTAAGGGAACAAGCAGAAAACGTTCTACTACTCAGGGCAAGAGTTACAATATATTTATTTCATCCATTCTCTGTGCCTTTTGGGAAGATTATTGATCTATACACAAGGCAGAAAGCTATTTCCCATAAAGCTGAAGAGTAGAAAAGGTATGTGCAATCAGGATAAATGGGTATGTCTTGATATGGTAAGATTTGTGTACTATGGATTATTAGAACTTGGAGATACTGCATGGTCTCTTCAGTGGTACTTAGCAACACACCTTTTTGTCTATTGATAGCTTGTATACCTCGCAGTGTTACATTTTTGTTCTTTTCCAGTGTGCGCTTTTTCCTTCTTGTGTAGTTTGTTTTCTTTTTATCCAGCCCTTCAAAATTCTAGACATATTGAATACACTATCCAGATCTGGATTTAGAACTTGAAGATCTTAAGTTCTGATTTTTTATAAAATAGTTGAGATCTTTTGCACTAATTACTTAAATATAGTTTCATTTTCTTTATCTGTAAAAATGGAATAATGATATCAGTGATGCAGGGCCCACAGAATTTTTGTGACGTACAAACCTGAGGTTTGAGAATACTGTTTTATAAACTGCAAAGCCCTGCACCATTTGATATTTTTCTGTGTTACTGTTACCCTATTCCCCATTTTGGGTTCCCTCCATCAGACTTCAGTACATGCTATTAATTATCTTCTTTAACTCCCTAAAACTTTATAGGAGGAATAGAGTATTAAGATCAGCATTTTCTGTAATGTGCCATATAGTAAATATTTTGGGTTTTGTAGGCCACATACTGTCTGTTGTATTCTCTATTCTCTCTCTGTGTATGTGTGTGTATACATCTTCTTACATGTGCAAAAAAGAGTTATCATAGCAAGCCCAAGACTGCTATCCTTAGAAAGAACTCTTGCAAGGTTGGATCTTGGCTGGCAGCTAGAAACTTGGGTATCTCACTCTTCCCAGAAGTGGTACACTCTTTGTGTACACAATGTGGCTTATGATGAATATCTGCTTTCCTTCTGGGAGTTTGGAGTCCTGATGTGTGCTAGACAGAGGGTGCTTTGGTGATCAACTCCAAGTAAATACCTTGGGTCCTGAGTATATAATGAGCTTCCCTGGTAAACAACGTTTTGTATATGTTGTCATAACTTGTTTCTGGAAGAATTGAGTGTGTTCTGCGTGACTCACTGGGAGAGGACCCTTGGACTCTTGCAGTTTGTTTGCTCCACGTTTCACCTTATGCACATTTTCCCTTTTAATTTTGCTTTGTATCCTTTTGTTGTAAATAAAAAATCATAGTTAGGAATACACCTATATTTTGAATCCTGTAAGTCGTAGTAGTAAATTATTGAATACGGGCATGATTTTGGGGACATCTGACACATTTTACATACCTATAAAATTGAAAAAAATTTTCAGCTTGCAAGACTTACAAAATTAGACTATAGTGGCTATAATTTGCCAATTCTGTTATAGAATATCTCTGTTTTGAACACTTATTTTTACTGTTTCCTTACCGTTTTACTTACCTAAATCTTTTCTCCTGATTGTGAGCTCCTTGAGAAAAGAAACTGTTTTGTATACTTCTCTTTTATTTCCCATGGTAGTATAATTCTATGTATAATGGGCACTCAATAGAGAATTGACTTTCAAGAGAAGAGCTGCCATTTAATAGGATATTGTTACACTTTACAAAAATAGAATGATTGGTATATACTTATGGTGTTATTGTAGGTATTTAACTGAAGTTTATATGTCTGTCACCTGTCATTTATTTAGCACTTTATATTGACTTTTAACCTCTGCATTTTGGTTTATTAGATTATCATAGGTCATCTCTAAACTCAGTTTTGAGAAATCTGTTTTACTGTATTAGCATAGATCCATGTTTATCTTTAAGTTTCACATGCGCTTTCACCTGTGAATGTTCTTAAATGAAGATTCTGTAGCAGAAGTTGGTAAAGTAAATAGGTCAAATCTGGCACACTGTTTTGTATGTCTTGTGAGCTAAGAATGTTTTTTATATTTTTAAATTATTGGAAAGAAGTAAAGAGTATTTTGTAATGTGAAAAACATATAAATACCAATTTTGGTATACATAAAATCTTATTGGAAAATGGCCACAGTTCATCTGTATATTGTCAATGGCTACTTTAATGCTACAACATCAGAGTTTATTTATGAAAGAAACTGGCCACAAAGTCTAAAACAGTTACTGGCTGCGTCAGAAATTTTTTCTGACCTCAGTTCTACTGTGCTATATAGGCAGGTTAGCTGGACCAACATATTAAGCTGAATTGTATTGCTCCTAATTGAATAATATAAAACAATCCTGATCAGATTCATGAGTCTTCTTACGGTAAATGTACATTAACTGGTCCAACATAAATGGTAAAACTGCACTGTCACAAAAGCACCTACTGCACTACTCGCCACCTTTTAATTTACTATGTCTAATTTGTTCTTCTGGATTCTTCTTTCTTGGATTATAGCCTCCTTCTTCCTGAGTGCACCACACTCTCTGCGAAAACTCAGACTAGGGGGATGGAAGCTCAGTTAAATCTTTTCCGTTGCAAGTCTATACTAGAAAATAATTTTTTTTCTATTTCTTTGTGAAGATTCAGTATCCCTTACAGATCTTCTGGTTCTGTTTACCCAACTTATATATTTATCACCAAGTTCTCCAAAGATGACATCAGCTGCACATATAGGTAATTATGCTTCTATTTTAAATGGAAAAATAATATTGTATTGCCTGGAAGTTTTGAGTGACTGACCTAGTTTAGTTGAGAAGTTTCATAAGATGTAGTGTTTTTCATAATAAATTACACTGGTCCTGGAAGTAAACCATGGAATTTAAATTTGTTTATTGATGTTTTAAGGTGTTTCTAATGCATCTACCACCTTTTTATTTAAAATGGATTTTTCTGGGAATTTTAATGTTATATTTTAAGATCGAGATGTTCTTAAGAAATACTTATTAAGGGAAGTTTGACTGATACGTACTGATACATTCTTTCTGGATATTTTCTATCCTTTATATTTTCCTGGATGTTTTTATCACCTTGTTTTTTTTCATTTCACACCCAAAACTTCAGGATCTTCTCTTTTTACTAACCCCCCCCCAAAAAAAAACTTCATGTTTTTTAGTAAAATGACTGTTAGTGTTTAATATTTTTAAAGTATTTTAATATTAACATTTAAAAATACATAATTTTTCCTTTGAATATCAAGAAAAGTTTGCAAAATGAAACACTTTATCTAAACAGCCTTGTAATCCATACACTCACAGTGTCCTAAATTTGTAAATTGCTCTAGAAATGTAGGCACAAATTCTAAGAGGAGCTCAAGTGAATCATAGGAAAAAACGTTTGGGTCATAGCTTAGTGCTATAATAATACATCTGTCAATTAGTAGGTTATATGTATGCACTTATAACAGCTTATTAGTCCTAATAATAGCTCTCAGACTTCTTTTTGCTTTTAAAGCATTTACATCTATAAATTACTAGATTAGGTTCCCTTGCTCTATGCTCCTACAACACACTGTGCTTCCTTCATGATAAAATTTTTCCTTCTTTATTATAATAGTTGTTAATGTCTTGGTTTACCATCTAGTGGACTGTTTTTTGTCTTTCTTATTTCTGTCTATGGTGTTTATTTAGCACAGTGTTTGGCACATAGTAGGCACTGAAAAAATAGTAGATAATTAGATTGATGAATGAATGGCCATATGCTCATCAATAATATCTCTTGTTGCATACAGGGTTTCTTATCTGGAGTTTGTTAAAAAAATTACTTAACTTTATTTTTCCATTTTCTTTTTGTCAAGTATTGACTTTCAGTCTTAGTGTGTTCATAGAGTATTGAATGTTACAAAATAAAATTTGAACATTGGTATTATTTTAGTATTGTATCTTTTTAGGACAACCTTACCTTGTTAACTTTTAGTTCCTTAGTTTCTTCATGTGAAACACTATTTTCTTAGTACATTAGGTCAAATAATCTGAAAGTACAATAATTTATGAAACTAAAAATATCTTTATTTTAACGACCATTCCTCATCTTACATTTATGTGAATTTGTGTTTTCTTATATATAGTTTAAAAGAAAATTTAAAAAATTCTCACTTTTTTCATTGGTTTTATGGTATTGTAAGAAGTATACTAATCGAAAGGAAAGTTTCTCTTCTCTGCCTTCTTTTTGGCCATTGTTTTGTCTTAATGACCAATTTTCTACCAGAATCAATACCCAGATACATTTAATATTATATATAATAATAAAAGAGAAAGTTGGTGTTTGCCAGGAGATAAACGGTAAATTTGCTTCTAATCCCATCCATACTGTGAAGCAACGATTTAATGTCAAACAGTGAATGAACTTTTATATTGTTGTCTTTTGGCATTCATATTTGTCATTTATTCGCTTTTTATTAACTTGAAGATATGTTAAGCTAATTTATATTTCCTTAAGTTTTAGGTTATAATTTAGTAATACATCATTCTTTTGGCATTGAGTTATATGATTTTTTAAACTATTTAACCTTGTGTTGAACTTTTTTGGAACAGCAATAGCTAATCCATAAATAAAAGATATATTAAATACCTAATGTCTAAAGTTTTAATTAATAAAAAATTTTTTGCGTTACAGAGAATTACTCTCCTGCAAGTATGGTGACTGAAGTTCTGCAGATACTCTGTGATCAAAAGGAATGTGCAATCGAATGCTTATATAACAACACTGTGGTTGAGGCACTTCTTCAGCCAATTCATGATTTAATGAAAGGAACTAAGGTAGGTTTTATTTACTAAAGAGAAAAAGTCTCTTATTTGGGTATTAGGAAATATTCAGTGGGACTCTATTTCTAAATCTGACACATTTGAAATGTGATATTATTATACTCTCTTTCCATACATGAATGTATTTTATGCTGATGTAGATTTTTATTTATTGTTAAATCATAGTTTATGTAGGCAGTTGATTTATTAGTTATGGCAATGTGGCAGAAAATGACATCTTAAAAATATTTTTTTCTAGCTTGGCTTAGATCTGCTGGTTATAAAAGCTAAGAAAAGTTATTCTGTTAAGAAGCTATTTGTGTTGCAAATCTAGTAAATCTTGTGAATGTTTTGTTGTTTTAATGGCGATTTTATAGCCTTTGGAAATGTGATTATTTTTCTGAAGAGCCAGCTTTGTTTTATATGAAGAACTAGTTTGTTTTATATGAAGAACTTGAGGGAAAAAAGCTTATAAACATCAAGGTCTGAACATTTATATTATCTCTCTACAGTTTGTATAGTATATTTCCTGCATTATATAATTTAACTCTCACAACTGAGAATCAAAGAAGTAACTTGTTAAAGGTCAGATATTTAGCAGGTGGCAGAGTTGGTACCACTACAAGGACTGTTGTCTGTAATATATCCCTCCATTTCAGTGATTTAAACTTCTGGGGAATGACTTAAAGCTTATCAATAAGCCAAATGCTTTTGCCTTTCCATGTCTGCATTATGTAATGTTTTTACTGGTTTCATCTCCCTCTTTCACCTACCCCTAAATGGACTGGGCAACTACCCACCAATTTGTTATTCATTGCTCATTCAGAAAACATTAAGTATTTACGTGACTGTGGTACAAAGTATGGATTTCTGGGAAATAAGGGGATATAATGATAAATTATTTTGATGATTTTATAGTCAACCTTGGGAAAACAAAATAAACAAAGAAAAACAAATGGAATACCTAACACATGTATGTGTATGTGTATATATATATATAAAAATATATTATATATCATATATAATATATTCAGATATATATTATATATAGTATGTATGTGTGTATATATGTATATAGTATATATAACATTTTCATATATATATCATATATAGATATATATTCAGACATATATCATATATATCTTATATATATATATATATATATGAATGCCATAATATAAATAGTATTGTGAAATTGAAAACAAACACCAGGGCTGAGAAATGTGTTCTTGGATCTTATACCATAGTTATTGTTTGTGTCTTTGCTTTTATATATCTTTAACTTTTTATTTTCTTTTTACATCTTTCCATTGCTTATAAATATATCTTGAGTCTATCTCATAGTTGAGATAGGAGAAACTCTTGATTGTACACATATTTAAATACCATTTAATATGTGATTTTTTTAATGATAAGCTTTTAATTATGGAAGGCTGCCATTGTCTTAGCTTCCTCTCTTTCCAATCATTTTTCAAGTCATTGCATTATGATCTTGCCTCCATCACATCATTGACTTAGCTTTGATTGCTGTTGCCCATATGCTAAATATGTAGCTAGTGACCACTTCAGACTCTTATTTACCTTATCGTTGTTACACTAGACAGCTTCTGAAGTTATGTTTACTTGGCTTTCCTATAATCATTCTATTTGCCCCCCACTTTTTTTTTTTTAACAAGATGCCATAAAATTTAATGGAGAAAAAAAATCTCTTCAACAAATAATGCTGGAGTTATTGGACATCTATAGGCTAAAAAATGAAACTAAATCTAATCACCTTATGGTATATAAAATTACAAATGGACCATGCTTTTTCTCCCTTTCTTACCATCCTTCCTCTCTCACCTCTGAGGACTCCTCTCCTAGGTCTTGGCTGTCTTCCGTGATTCAGGACCTGGTTCATCTTCTTTTTTCTCAGTACACTTTTCCCAGATGATTGTCTCTAGTCCATGGATTAGATGTATAATTAACAGCTAAATGTCGATCTCTTCAGCTCCAGATTTTCTTTAGCTGCCTGAAGAGCACCTTCTCTGGTTATTCTATGAGCTAGTTAAACTCAACATTTTTGAAACAGTATATTTCTGCCCATTCTCCACTTCTTCAAGTTTCCTTTCATTTCCCGGTGTGGAGAAGAGGACTACTATAAATCTAGAATCCTTTCTCATTCTTTTCATTCAATTTGTAATTAAGGCCTCTAGGTTTGTTTTCCTATATGTCTCTAAAAATCCATGTATTTCTCTTAATCCTTACTTTACTGCCTTTGTTTAAACCCCAATAATTCCTTGACTGGAATGTTGAAATAATTTTCTTACATTTTTTCAGTCTTTCACTTTTGTAGCCTATCCTCTCCACTGTCAAGAAGGTTGTCACAATTGTTTTCTGCTTTTTGCTTGCTAGATAAATTTCAAACTTTTTAACTAGACATTTATGAAACTTTACATTTTCTTTTGTCCTACCTATTTTGTTTCCTATATATTTCAGTTATAACATATCATTTACATTTTCTAAACAAGGTTATAACATTTCCCTGGGTTGGCACATGTTTCTTCCATCCTGGGAAGTCTTAAACTTGGTTTTCTTAAAAACTTCCTCTATTCAGACCTGGCTGGTGTGGCTCAGTGGATTGAGTGCTGGCCTGCGAAACAAAGGGTCGCTGGTTTGATTCCCCGTGAGGGTACATCCCTGGGTTGTGTGCCAGGTACTCAGTAGGGGGCGTGCAAGAGGCAACCACACATTGATGTTTCTTACCCTTTTTCCCCCTCCCTTCCCCTCTCTCTAACGATAAATAAAATTTAAAAAACTACACATTAAAAAAACTTCCTCTCTTCAGACTATGGGTTATGATTTTTTTTCTGAAATGTTTTTCCAGTTCTATCAGTGAAGCAATTTTTCTCTATACAGTAAGTACTCACTTAATTTTGTTCATAGGTTCTGTGACTTTAAGAGAAATATAAGGAAACCTATTTTACCATAAAGTAATTGACATAAGCAAGAGTTAAGTTCCTACAGCATCTTACCAATTTTGTAAAGAAACAGGGTTATTCAAGGACCTGCTGTATTTCTGTGTTATGTACTTCGGTAATTGTGCTTATGCTGGAATTACTGTTGAGATTAAGAAACAGCTCTCTGGCACATAACATTCAGTATTTAACTTAAGACCTTCAGTATCATGCATTGAGCCACTGCTATATCATTGGCTCTTTGCAGTGTTATTGAAATATGGAAATGGCTAAGATATATTCTTTGTCTTTAAAGAGCCTACTTTAATAGGAAAGGCAGACTATTAAACAGAAAATATTGAAAATGAGGAACAGAAAGTTAAAGAGTTTGGGTTTGTATGAGTGAAGGAAAGTATTCTAGGCAGAGAAGTTGTTTTAAGAAAGATGTGTAGTGTGAAATAGACTAATGTAAGTCTAATATAATTAGGAATTCCCAGGTGAATATACCTGACTCATTAGTTAAGTTAGCCCACTGAATTATTGGAGTATATTGGTTTCACTGTGTATATATTCAGATTTATTATAGAGATTATGTGCATTGGCATCCATGCAGATACAGATAAATCAGTAGACCCTAGGAAGAATAGGAAATTTATTAGACTCAGGCCCTTGAATGGGTTTCAGCATTAACATGACTCCATAGTTTTTAGTATTTGCTTTGTACTAATTTGCTATACACTGGCAAAGCTATTTTTAGTACTTCCATTTAAAATAAAAAGTAAGGAAATATGATTGGTCCAGCCTGCGCTTTCTCATTAGGTCACATCATTGGCTATTGGCCAGCCCACGAATTGGCCGTCCTTAGTCAGATCTACAACTCATGCATGGCCAATCAGTTGTAGGAAAGGATGGTATTCCTTAGATAGGATGGTAGTGTGTTAATAAAATTAGATTGCATATACAAGCAAACCTTATTTTATTATGCTTAGATTTATTGCATATGCAAGCCAAAGGATTATAACCCGTTTTATTGCCGTGGTCTGGGACTGAACCTGAATATCTCTAAGGTATTCCTGTACAGGAAATCAGTGAATAGAAAGTAAAGGGCAAAATGGAAATAGAGGAGCTACGGCATTTGCCCACCAGAATTATATATGAGATTGTAATAGGAACAGTAATTCTCTCAACTGTCTTAAGAAACAATAATTGATTTGTGTTAAAAGTCTATGTTTACCTCACAACTATGCTGGTAAGAGAATCTAATCTAATGACACTTTTAATTCAGACATATTATTTCTCAGCCAAATAGTTATAACTTTGTTTTTGTTATGGTAATATAACTTTGTTAGATTATATTATCACCTTGAATTTTAATCTGTGATATGTTAGCATGTCATAAAATGATATGATTTTACCTTTTTAATATACAGGCTGCTCCAGATTGCTCTGAAACAGCTTTAATTTATATAGCAGATGTTTTGGCAAGAATTGCATCTGTAGAAGAAGGGCTTACTTTACTTCTTTATGGAGAAAATATGAACTCTTCTGAAGAAAAAAGGTACATGTTTATTTTAAATAATTTGTGGAATTTCTAACATATTTTATCAACCTGATTCAAAGTTTCCAAAATGTTATGCTATATGTTAATGGAAATATGGGTAACTATTCTAGGTATAGTTAGATTTCCTGACCATCCTCTAATAACATATGAGATCATCTTCAGAAAGTTGAAGGGATAACCAGGACTATGGCTTATGTAGGCAGAGCAGGTCTTGATGTCTAAATTTCAGAATGAGAATAGGAGGGTTCACTTTATTTGGGATATTTTTGTTCCCTTACACTTTTCGCTTAAACTTCCAAAGCCACACATGATTGACTAAAGTCAAACCTAACAAAGGTGTACAAAGGAAAAGGTAACTATTTCCTTATCTTCCTTCTGTACCATCACTCAGTTTCATCTCCTGGCTTAATCAATGGCAATATTTTGGCTATACTTCTGCACTTTTCTGCACTTATAATGATATGTCAAACATGTATTCATAGTCATAAAATTTTTATTTCCTCTCTGACATCTTTTGGCTGTTCTTTCTGTTTTGTTTTTTATTTTGTTTTGTTTTGTGTTTTTCATTGTGGGTTTATATCTCTTTATATCTCGAGCCCATTGTTTTCCTGGAACTTGCAGGGAGAGCACTGAGATAAGAATGTGGTTTAATCAGCCATGCCTAATCTGCTATCCTGGTCATGTGTTTTTGTTTAATGGCCATGATATCTTTCCAGATCTCTTTGAACCCAGTAGGTAACTGTGTCATCTATTCCGAGAGTTCTCTACTTTCATCTGGGATCAGCTTTTCTGTGGTATTTGGCCTTTTCAGTTTGTTCTGTCCATATTTAAGACAAAACAGATGAGGACTCCTCCACTTATTTTTTACAAGGTGAAGGATTTCCAGCTATACCTTTCCTGCACAAGATTCTGATTAGTATCTTTGTGTGGACCAGTGTGGCAAATCAATGCGCAGATTTTCCCTGAAAATAAGTGAATTCCTAGTTTTCTATCATATTGAGGACATTCCAGATGCCAGAAAAAAGGTGGCTTTTATCTTGGGTGCTGACTTCTGTCTCAGGAGTAGCCTTCACTTGCTTTAAACATTTGTTCAGAGTTTTGACACTGGGATAAAACAGTGTCAAGCAATGGCAGATTGCAGACCCCTCCTCACTGTGGGCCCCCCTGTACTTGCTGACTCTGAACCCAAAGCCCTGCCATGCCAGTCTCCTCTTTTGTAGCTCAGGCGGGGCATTTACTGTGGTCTTTTCTGTGTAATCTGGAGCTGCTCCTTCCCAGTCTGCCCTTTTCCCAGAAGTCTTTAAAACTTTCTCCTTTTGAATGTCAGTTGTACTTGAAAAAAAATGAACAAGCAAACAAAAAACTTCCTTTTCATCCTTGCCACCATCCAGAGATTTTCCCCTTTTTTGTACAATTGCACTTTTATTTTACTGGGTTCTCAGGAGCAGTTGGAGGTAGATGTACATGGACACATAAAAGAAAGAAATTGAACTTAAATTTAAACCTCTAGATATAACTTTGACTTTATAGGAAATATGGAGAACTAGAGGAACACTTTAAATGACATCATGGTGATGCAATTATTCAAATAAAGAGTGAGCACGAAAAAACAGCTTTGTTTCTCAAAAAAATCAATGGCATGGAGAAAAAAATAGGGGTCCTAAATAACCATAATAATCTAATTCGTTCTATGGAACTTCTTTGAATTCTGTTTTGAACAAATCTGTTACAAAAAGACAATCTTAAGGCAAGCAGGAGACTTTTGATATGGGCTAACTAACAGATAATATTAAGAAATTGTAATTTTGTTAGGTAAGGGTATTAGCGTGTAAAATAGAAGCTTTATCAGTTAGAGATGTGTACTGGGTAAAATAACATGATATCTGGAATTATATGATCTTCAGCAGAGTGGGGGTTATGGGAGGTCAGGGGATAGAAAAAAATAAGACTGGCAAATGTTTTAACTATTGAAGATGGATGAGGGGTACATTCTATATACTGCCTACTGTTTTTGTTTGTTTGCTTTTTAATCCAAAAACTAATTAAAAGTGTCCTGCTCTGGGCCCATACAACCTGAGTTTGTTGAGTCTTGCTTGGCTCTACCTCTTACTAGCTATGTGATATTGTTCAGGTTGCTTAACTTTTGTAAGCATTAACTATATTTCCTTATCTGTAAAAATTGAAGAATAATAAACCTTCCCCATAGAGTTATTGCAAGGATTGAGTTAATGTATTAAAATACTTAGAACAGTCTTTGGCACATTATGAACATTTACTATGTTCTTCCTTATCTGTCACTATTATTACTATTAAAATGTCCCAACCTTTGAGATAGGCAGAGAGAGCTAAGTCCTGTTAATTGTGGGAGTCCTCATCCTGCAGAGTTCTCCTGGCCATCGCAGATGAAAAAATGAGTCATTCCAGACACACTTAGTCTGCCCAGAGAAAGGGGTGGCTATTCCCTCTAGTGGAGAATGCCCCAGCCCTTCTCTGAAGTGGCTTTTATTGAGCAAGTTATACAGCATACAAGCAAAGCTTATCAGTAAAGGCCTAAGGGCTATATTTACAGAAAACAGATAGAAATTATAGATAACAGTTGAAGAAACACAGAGATTTGCCTCAGGTCAGGGTCTGTTAGACATGCTGAAGTTAGATGGTCCTTAAGGTATGGCTCCTGAGTTCAGGAATTCAGTTCTTCTGTCTGGAGCTTAAACATCTGATTTATGCTAACAGGGCTGGCTATACAAAGCAAAGCAAGCTTTGAAGGGTACAATGCATTTTTTGGGCCTGATTTCCCACAGGAACCCTCAGTGCTAGCATTGGGTCATGTCTGCCTTGCAGTGTTCCCAGTTTTCTGGTCAAGACTTACAGACCCCTTTAGAGGTCTGGCTTGCGCGGGGCTACAATTCTAGATATCACAGAAAGTGGTCCCCAACAGTTAATGGATTGGGGAATGTATAACAAGTACTAGGAACGGAGAACTCAGGATTATGTTTTCACTATAGAATTAAGGGGATATTGGATAACATTTAAGTGTATAGTTTTGTTGCTTTTTCTATCTTCATATTTTTTTCCTCAGTTCTATTGAAAATGCTCTCATTATTAGACATCTGAGCATGGATGGGAACAAGAATATTGACATGTCAGAGAAAAGCTAGAGGAGGACTAAAAGCAAGTCAAGCAAATGAGGAATTTGTGGAATTAGCTTTTTTGGTAGTACTTTATAAAGTCATGATTTATAACCTTTGAATCACCTTTCTGTACCATCCTTTAGTTCTACAGGTGCTCATATAATAGCCCGGTTTTTGAAGAAACTTCTTGATGAAGATATTTCTATTTTTTCTGGATCAGAAATGTTGCCAATGGTGAAAGGAGCTTTTATTTCCACGTGTTGCCAAATATATGGCACATGTGAAGGTTTGCAAGTGTTAATCCCTTATAGTTTACATGAATCTCTAGCAACGGCATGGAAGAAGGTAGGTATTTTAAAGTAATTTTTTTCCTCCCTGCAAATCTTTATTCTAAATATAATCACCATTGTAGTGTAATATTTCAGTTAGAATATTTTGCTGGGGAAAATATGCATTCTTTTATTTTTTCCCAAAGATTTGATTTATTTATTTTTTAGAGAAGAAAAGGGAGGGAGTAAGAAACATCGATATGAGAGACAAACATCAATTGCTTGACTCTTGTATGTGCCCTGACTGGCGATGGAACCCATAACCCAAGCATGTGCCCTGACCAGGAATTAAACTAGTGACCTTTTGCTTCTCAGAATGACACTCATCCAACCGAGCCACAACAGTCAGGGCCAAATATGATTTCTTTAGCATCCCAATACTCTAGAGGACGTAGTTCTTTTTAGTTTGGCACAGTATGACTTTAGTGCCTCCTCTTTCTAGGACACAGTTCTAGGACCTTACTGGATACTACAAAGTCTTCTGGTAGGAGAAGCTTAGATAAATTATCTTTGCTTAGACTGACATTCCTATTTGGAAGTTATTTCTGAGCAATTTTCACAGATGGCTGGATTTTTGTTATGAACACTGTAGATCATAATGTAGCAACAGTTAAATATAGTGTATATAGATGTCTTTTTCCCTGTTGCTCTGCTTTATTTATGAAGCACTTCATATGATATTTAATTAAGAACCAAATTTAACTTTTGAAGGTAATTTAATTTTAATTACCTTAACGATCAAATATAAAAATATAGCATGAGATCTATGGGTAATTCTATCAGTAAAAAATAAATGCAAATTAATCTGTTATATTTTAGATAAGTTTGTTATCAGAAAGAATTCCTACTCCAGTAGAGGATTCAGATTCTGTTTCTTCGATAAGCCAAGAATCCCAAAACATGTAAGTATAATTGATTAAATTCCTCTTTTTTAAATATGAATTTGCTGAAATAATTTAAAAATGAAAGTGTAATAGACTACTATAGCAAAAATACTTTACAGGAAGGTAACTGTATATATAGGATACAGGAAGATTATACCTGGGAGGAAGTTTAGAGATCATATAAAACTTGTAACCTAAAAAAATCTAGCAATATTTATTCTATTTTCTTAATTTTGTATTTACATTTTGGATTAGGAAACTTAACATGTTATATTGTTTCCAGAAAATTTGGAGAATTACCAAATATTAAAATTGGTAACCTAACTAGGAAGTTCAGTAGAAGAAAAGTGTTTTCAAATGCCAAAGAAGTCCATGTGCTATTTTTCAAAACATGTGAAATGCATTTTAATAAGACTTTAGAAGAGAAATCATTTACATCAGTATTTATACCCATTTTTAATTTAGAAGTATACATGTTTCTTCACAGATATCAATAGGTTATGGTGTCATATTAATGGGGAAGTATATATATATATTTAAAATTAAGATGTGACATATGTTTCTGGATTCTGTTCTTTATGGAGTGCTGGCATAGTTTAAAAAGATCATAGTTAGCGAGAAGAATCTTGAGGAACACGCGTAAGAGAAATCCTAACTAATATTCTTTTTTAGGTAGGCATAACCTAACTAAAAGAAAACACCCGGTCAAACAGAAAGCGTTTTGCATTTTTTTTTATCAGTGTCATAGTTCAGCAAATAATTATAGCTAATTTTTGGAGCATTAACTTTTTTTCTGATATAGTTGTCATAGACTTAAATTAGCTGACTTTTTTTTTTTTCCTCGATAAGGGAGTGATAAAAATATTTCTGCAATTCATTTTTGAGGTAAATTTTAGATCTTTTTATAGAATTCTGTGATTTTTCATTTTTTCATGCATTCATTTTGTGCTTAATTATTCAGTTATTTATTGCACCAAGTTTTTTTTGCTGAGTTCTGAGAATACCTATATACTTTAGAGAGCTTATTGTCTAGTGTAGAATACAAATAAATAAATACATTGTAGCAATATAGTATGTTAAGTTTATGATAGAGGCCATGCAAGGTCCATTGAGAATGAACTTACAGGGGAAATCTTCCCAGAAACTGTTGATAAATTAAGTAAAAAAGAGTAATGGATATTAGCTGTCTAAAAGGGGGAGAACATTGTTCCTTGTGGAATAAATGGTATATTCAATAGGCTGGAATAAGGGGGAATGTGATTAATGCACTTAACATGTTTTACTGTCAGTAATATTTTTACACTTTTGATGTCAGAGTCTGAGGGTACTAATAAGTCATCCACTGCTCCTTATGTCCTGAGTTGTGAACCAATTAATAGACAAAAAGCCAAGCAGATCAAAACACTGAATAACATATACTTCCTAAAAATTGATCGCAAGACAAATTTGCCGTTCCGTCACAGTCAACCGTGGACAGCCATAGGGTTCCCTCTTAGGCCATGCCTGCAAAGATCAACCTTAACTACACATTAGAGCAGAGCAGAATGTGTGCTTCCTACAGGTAACTGGATCCCAAAGAGGAAGTGGACTGGGGGAGAGCACCCAGCCAAACATGTTAGGCCAATCTCCAAATCTCCATGGGCAGGAATGCGTGGTAGATAGAGAAAGGCAAGCAGTGGTAAACGGGGGACTGTGCTGCATGTGGAAACTTGATGCTAGGGGAAAGGAGGCTCCCCAATATCTGATATTAATGTCTTTAAAACAAAAGATTTAATAGAGTTTTTGATAATAGTCAAAATGTTGATCATTTTTATAATCAATATTAAATTACCTCTTTGAAAGAATCAAGTATCTTTTGCTCTTTTATGTTAACTGTAAAGTTAGTATGAGACAGGCATTGTTTGTTCCTTTGTAGTTTGGTAGAACAGTATGGCCCAGTTAACTAGACTAGTCTGATGCCATGATGTAGCACCAGTTCTCCTCCCCAACCTCACCTTCTCTGTTAAATGGTAGTTTCTAGGTGTAAAAGTTTTGATAATTATTTCTCATTAGTATTTGATGCTAATACTCCATTGTCTTCTGGAATAAGTAGCTGCTGATAAATGTCAGTATTATTGCCATATAATTACTCTATTGTCTTCTGGAATAAGTAGTAATTGATAAATTTGTTAGTACAATTGCTTTTCTTTTACAGGTTATATCTTTTCTCCCCTAACGCTTATAATTTCTTCTTTGGATGTTTGCTGTTTCTTTGTGATTGAATTTTATCCTCCTTAGTACTTTGAGTGTTCTTTTGATCTAAAGATGAGTCTTTCCTAAAGTCTAGAAAATTCTCATTTTCTTTTCAAATATTCTCCCCATTTTCTTCTGTTGGAGCTTTTATTAGATGTGTATTGAGACCTTTCAGTCTATGTTCTGTGTCTCATCTTTTTTCTAAAACATTTCGTATCTATCTACGGTTCAATTCAGTAATTCTTTCCCTGACCATGGCCTGGAGTTTTTCCTATCTGCTTTTTACATGGCTATTTGTTTATTTCCAAGATTTTTAATTGTTTTTAAAACTAACTCCATATTTTACTTCTGTGCATGTATATATATTATATATTATATATTTATAGTTTATATCTATATATTATATCTATATATAATATATAATATCTATATAATATATAGATATATATTGATATATATAAATATATAGTTATAATATTTTTTAAATATACAAATTAATTATTAATTTTAATTTCAATTAAATATATATTATTTTTATTAGTCTTTCCAATCTTGAGCCTTGTACTGGTTTTGTGTCTCACATGTAACTCTTTTAGTGCTTTATATTCTGTTGGAACCAAATGTGGCTTCCATTGCCTGCATTTGCCTTAAAACTAAAGTCACTTCTTTATGCTTCTGCTCTTTTTGTCCATGATGATAATTATTTTGTACTTGAACATGGTTATATCTTTGACCATTGCTGCATTATTATCATAGAAGGGTATGTGCCAAAACATGTACTGATTTTTTTTTTTTTTTTGTTATATCAGGAATGTCCTGGATTTCAAATCTTTCTTAAAATCAGTTCCAAAATAGACTTCTGAAACTTCCTGGGGGGAGGAATGGAAAGGCACTCTTTTTACATACTCAGTTTTACTGTACATATAAACATTTGATTTTGACCTATTTTAACCTCCACACTTTCCAGACAACTAGGAATATCCAGTAGAGAGTATGTTTTCTCTTACTTCTGGTACTTTAGAATGAAATTCTCATTCCTTTTTGTATCTCCAAATTTCTAGCTTTGACTCTGCTGTTAACTCTGTGTTGTGTGACTGTTTCAGGGTTATTTATTTATTTTTCTGGAGAATGTTACTAGCCTTTCTTTTAGAAGTGTTCTGAGAAAAAAAAAATAGTCATTCCCCAAAAGTGTAATTAAAAACCTATGAAGATAAATATTCCTGATATGCTTTGGAAAGTCAGAAGACAGATACTCTATAATAAAAAGAAAGTAAATTTCAAAATAATGGAGAGTTTGGGCTAGGGAATCCAGAACAACAGAATTATGATAGCACGATAGAATGAATTTAAGCATGTTGTATAGAACCTAGGTATAATAAAAATGCTCGACGTGCAGTGAATATTTGATTCTTCAGTGAAGGAAAATTATGGGCATAGAAGATATAAGACTAAGATAATTCAGTATTAAGGAAACTATGTTTTTTTAATCATATTTTTAAAACATTTATTGAATATTTTGTAACCAATGTGTACTCTATAAATATAACTACCAACAGTATTAAGCTAAAATATATCCTTTCAGTTTGAGTGTAATAAAGACACTTAACACCTTTTCTTTATCTGTTTCAGTGTGGCTTGGGAAGAGAATTTATTAGATGGCTTACTAAATTTTGCTGCCACTCCTAAAGGACTACTACTTCTTCAAAGAACAGATGCCATCAGTGAATGTGTGACATTTATGTTCAACCGATATACAAAAAAATTACAGGTATGAATTACCATCTGCTACAGGCAGAAGGAACTTTTGTTGCTTTAAAAGCCATTAAGAACACCATCCTGTTTTTTGTACGTGAAGAGGTTATTAAACCTGAGTTAAAAAACCACATAGCGTTGTAATGTTCAACTTGATATTTTTTTAGGAAAGCATTAACGAGTTGATGTATCTATGGCTGTATCTACTGGATGACAAACATCCAGATGCAATTGAGAAATTCAGTTAATTATCCAGATGTTTTATAAATGTTACAGCAAATATCTGGATATACTAAAACTGGGTGGAACTCCAGGAGAAAAACCATTTGGGGCTAAATGTGTTTGTCAGTGAGAGTGTAAGCCTCACATTTTAAAAGAAACCTACATTTGTAGAGGGATTTTATTATTGCTACTGTTAAATAATATTTGCAACAAAATGTGGCCTTTTCACAGGTAGAGGTCATAGAGATGTATTCAGCTTTTTGCTGTCAAAGTGAATATCCAAGACTTCTGAGGTTTTTAGGATCACAGATGTGCTTTTCGCTGTTTCTGGAAGCGGTCGTGTTTTTATTTTATTAGGTTGCCTGATTATAAGTTTCATTGCATTTGTTCTTCTTTAGTTGCCAATTCTAATTTTCTACTTTTGCTTAAAAAAAAACAAATAATTAACTTTTTAGGGTTGCTTTTGCCTATGAAGAATAAATAGTCCCTGGGGGAGGGCCCTGATAATCTCCTTATAAATAAAACAGGAACATTAGGTCATGGGTATATGGTATTAGGCTTGTATGTACTGGTGAGTTTTTATTTGTTTAAATGGACCTTGGGTATAGAGAATTCAGTTATTTACATGCCTCATTTTGTGGCATAATGTCTTTATCTGTCCATGCAAGATTTCTTACTTGATTAATTTTATTCTCCTGTCATTCCTGATTGAGAGTTTCATTTCATTCTGCATGTATTCTCTTACTCCAGGCTTTCATACCAATATGGTATGTTTAATATTCTTGAATATGTATACTTCTTGTGTAATATTGTCTTAGTCCATTCGGGCCACTATTACAAAGTACCGCAGACTGGGTGGCTTATAAATAGCAGAACTTTATTGCTCACAGTCCCAGAGGCTGAACGTCCAACATGTGGATGCCAGCATGGTCAGGCGAAGGCTGTCTTCGGGCTTGCAGACTTACTGCATCTCCACGTGGCAGGAAGCCACATGGGGAGCTCCCTGGGGTCTTTTCTGTAAGAGCACTGACCTCATTCATAAGGACACGCCACCTTCATGACCTAATCACCTCCCAAAGGCTCTGCTTACTACCTTTACCTTTGGGGATTAGGATTTTAACATGAGGTTTGAGGAGACATATTCAGACTGTATCAAACATAGAAGTTTTTCAGCCTTTTTAAGTTTACATAACTGAAATTTGTTGTTTCAATTTGAATTTCTTTGCTGGTGAGTTTGAATCTTGGTTTACTAGTTAATCATATTAGTTTTCATTTTGTTTTTATATTTTTAAAAATACTCAAGCAACTCAGAGACACTTTTCTTTATAATTCCAATGCATGAAACCATGCAGACAGCTTTTACCCTTGTGATAATACACCTATGACTAGATGTTATTTTTTACATTTATAAATTTTAGGACAATCTTGTCTTCCTTTCTACAATACTAGTGGTTATTATGGAAGATATTGTTTCTGAGACCACAGAAACTTAATAACCTTATAAGTTATTATAATACTTTAATGGTGCTTTATGCTATTCACAACATTTTTTGAAAATTTAGTCTTTGCCTACCATGTAAAAAAGCAATTAGGCCATATTCTTAATTTTGCTGAGGGAAAGTAGAGCCCCAGGCTGTTCAATGATCTGCTTATGCTCTAGTAACTGACAGAGTAAGACTAGAACTCAGATTTGCATTTTACAGTGTCCCTGAAATCTGAGTCTTATTTAGTTAAGTATCTCTAGCTTCTATGTTTTCTTCTCCTGCCCCTTCCTTTTCAGTACTTAGTATAAATCTGGGAAGCCCCCAGGCCACTTATGTCTGAATCAGCAGCATCAATGAGGGGAGTTGAGTAAGGTGTTTTTGCAGTTGCAGGTGTTATGGAGGAAGGCAGATGTGAAAAGGTAGTCATTTATCTTGCTTACCTCTGTCTTATCTAATTGCAAAACTAATGGATGGTAAATTAAGGAAAACAGAAAATACGAGAAATAAAAATAGAAGAAGAAAGGTAAATAAAAAAACAGCAGAAAATTGAAGACACTAATCTATTTCTGTGTCTCCTTTCTTTATTCTTAAAACTGAGTGTACAATTTATATTTTAAAATTTTGATTAAAATAGATTCTATTAATGATGTGTTGAAAAAAATACAGGTTAGAAATGGTTACCTCTGTCTAGAAGTCAAACATTTTATAAACGAACCTGATCATAGCCAAAATCTGAGAAAAACTTTGTTATTTCCTTATTCTGATTTCTACTAAGAGATATTCTTACTTCTGTACTTTTTACCATGAATACTTGTATAATCTCTTTGTGAAATATCAAATAATTTAAGTTATTTTAGAACACTGTTTACATGCCTTTGTTATTTCCTTATTCTGATTTCTGGTAAGAGAAATAGCCACTTACATACTTTACCATGAATACATGTATAATCTCTTTGTGAAATATCAAATTATTTAAAGTATTGTGCAACACTGTTTAGAAACCTATACATTAATGATGAACATTCTTTTCGGTGTATATTTTATGTATTAAATTCCCTTCCTTAGAGAATAAAACCACATTGTCTGTAAAAATAATTGTCATTTTTAAGAAGAGACCATTGTACCTTTTAAAACTGTTTGATTACAACATAATCAAATAGTCTTAAAAAACTGGCAGCCAGTACAAATTTATTAATGAAGAAATTTATATTTGAAGAACCAATCTAAAGAATTAAACAGGAAGATAATAGAACTTAGAGTTGGAAGGAATCTTACTTGACATCTGGTCAAAGTCCCTTATTTTGTGTATGTAAGACTTAGACCTAGAGAGAGAAGAGACTTATTCAAGGTTGAAAAGTTACTCAGCTTCCAGGCTGGGACATTGAGCCCCGGTTTTACAGCAACAAGGGGGTTGAAGTTTTTGCAGTTGCAGGTGTTATGGAGGAAGGCAGATGTTACTCTGTCTTATCTAGATCTGAAATAAAATTGTCAAAAATATTACATTGGTATAAACTCATTAATTGTTATAGTTTCTGAGTTTGTTTTTGCTACTCTTGTTATATTTACTTGAAATAATATCTAGTGTTCTAATTTAAAAAAATCAGTAACTCTACATGTAACGTGTAAGTAAAATATTAGCATGCTATGTTTCCCTGTGTCTCACTGTTCTTCCTTATTTATGTTTTTAGATCAGCAGGCATAAAAAGTTTGACTGTGGGGTTTTGGTTACACAAGTAGCATCAACAGCAGTAGGTGCAATAGCACTACAAAATTCAGGTAAGTTTTGCTTTTACTCAGAATTATAATTATTTAAATAAAATGAGTAATCTAATGAAAAATTTAACTGGCATGGTCAAGTATCAGGATATTACTCTAAAGTTATTTTTCCCAAATTAGGCCTTGAGTAAGACAAAGTTACAGGGCTTCCTTTTCATCTCTTCTTGTCCATGAGATCCCACTGGGAATCTTCTTTTCCTGTGAACTATATGCGGATCAGAACAATGGCACATAACGAACTAAACTGAGAAGTATTCGATGCTTTAAGAAGTTGCCCTCCTCTTATAAATTAAAAGGGTATCATCCTCTCTCTTGGTATGAGTTGCATGTAAGATTTCTTAATGCTCAGTTTCAGCGATTTATGGATGCATCAACATTTACAATCATAATAGTTTTTACACATACACATCATTTCCTTACTCCCTTTCTTCCTCTTACTTTCCTGAAAGCTTCTCTCTTGCCACTTACCTTTAACCACTGTCTTTGCAGTTTGCAGTCAGCATGTGTCATCCACAATGGTTGGATTTCTCAGAAGTTCAAATATTGGGAATTTAAGATATCATATCTTAAGATTATCTGAACCCTGAACTGGAAACAAGATGTAATCTCTAAAAGAGATGCTATGATTATATTTTTGACGGGTTAGAGTTGATGAATCATAACATCAGTGATCACTATTGATCTTCTTTTTAAATAAACATATTCTATAACATATTTTGAATATTTTTTGGCTGAACTAATTTGGACCACTTGTATTATGAAGCATGTTTTCTGGCAGAAGTTGTCCTAACTGAACCACTTATTTTTATCTTTTACTTAGAATAAAATCCAATTTATTCACTACTCAAGGCACATTAATGAAAGCATTTGGATTTATCTCAGATTTCCCTGTTGACCAAGTTATTAAACTTCTGAACCTCATAATATCAAACTTTTCATGAGAAAGTTAAATGCAATTTTTCATAAGACAAAGGAAGGAATATTAACGCCCTTTGGGTTCCTGTGGTGTCTTAGGTATGATATTAGGAACTCTATAGATAAGATCCCATGTATACTCCATAGCAACCCTTTATGTAGTGCTATTTCAGTTTTCAAATGGGGGAACTGATGCTCTGAGAAGTCAAGGGATTTTTCTAAAGACATGCACCAATAAACTGTCAGGCTTGTAGTTTGAACCCTGATAGTCTCAATTTCTTTTGATACCTAGGGGACTCTCTCTCCTCAAATGTTTTTATTATAAGATTATTGATTTGATGATTAGATGTTCTGTTTTACATGTTCTTATATGATATGATTCTTCATAAAGGAATTTAATAACCATGCTTAATAATCCCTTTCATTTAGTATCTGACTCATGAGAATTTAAAGACTGTACTGAGCCAAAAGTTGTGTGACATGGGAAAATATTTTAAGCAGGTGGAATTACAAAAAAGAATTACAACATGGGAACATATACTATTTGGATGTCTTACACACACACACACACACACACACACACACACACACACTCTCTCTCGCCGCCCCCACCCCCCCGCCTCTCCTTTCAGTCTGCCTTTCACTGTTGGCTCATTTTCAGGGTGAAGTGTAAACCTTAATATTTTTCAAAAAATCATGCCCAGAGAAGCTATTGTCCAGAGGATAAAATCTGGGACTCAAAATTCAGTTCAAAGGAAAATAATCTTTCAGAATTTCATCAGGACACAGTTTTATGATAATGGGGTATAAAAGTATATTAACAATAACAAATACAGTCTCCACCAAGGTTAGAGGTTATCGTGTGTCTTTGGTCAGTGTGGACTAGTCTTGTCTGAGGGATAATTGTATCTCTCCTGCATAATACAGAGGAATTGTATGCTATAAATATGATGCAAAACAATTATTTTTAGGGTATGTTAATGCACTTATAACTGAATTATGGGCCAACCTGGAATGTGGAAGAGATGATGTTAGAGTAACCCATCCCAGAGCTACTCCAGTGGACCCTATTGACCAAAGCTGTCAAAAGGTAAGAAATGATTTGATTTATCCAGCCATGTATAGGCTTTAAGTGTATGTCTCAGAAATTAATTTATGCAGGCTTTATTCAATTATAACAGCAGCGTTTCCTAATTTTCTTATTTCCTCTCTTTTTTTTCATTTCTAATCTTAAAATATTCACAATAAATTTAGTGAATGGTAGAAATACCTGTGTTCTCTGGGAGTCACGTTTGGAAGGATGTTGTTTTTACATAATATTTTATTATAAATTTTCTTCCTTAATAAAGAGTAATGCTTCTCAGAACATATTACAAAACAAGCAAACACACAAAAACCCTGAAACAAAAACCAACCAATCAAAATAAAACAAGGAAGCTCTTTTTGCCCTTGAACTCAAATATAATAGAAACTTTTTAGGATTATTGGAAGGTGTAGGAAGAGTGAGGATGCCATAATTCAGAGTAATGTGGCAAAACAAACAAACAAACTCTTTTAGCACCAGCACAATGTTCTATTATAATTCAGTGGCTTTTACGTACGTAACATGTTCTCCAAATTTTACTGAAAAGAAATGATGATTCTTTATAGTAGCCTGGAAAATTTTCGTTCAAGAGATATTACAAAATAATCAAAATTAAAATAAAAAATAGAAGTCTGCTTTCTGTAATGGTAGACTAGTTTCCTCCAGGGGAAAATACAAACTCAGGAAAAATAACTTAAAAATAACTTAAAAATCAGTTGTTTTTTTGGAATGGCAAAATATAGACAAAAAATGGAGGGGAGTCAATACAGCTGAAAGGAAGTGTACTCCTTGACAGTCTAGATTTAACAGATACTTGCTTAAGGGCAAGTATTGGTGCTGTACTGAAGATCCTACGGACAGATATTAAAGAGCAGTAAGGGAATATTATGATTGGCTTTATGCCATGCATTCAACAACTAACATAAAAATGGCACACTTCTTAACAGCTATGCTTACTGCCCTGGCCAGGTGGCTCAGTTGTTTGGAGCTTCATCCCATATTGCAAAAAGATTGTGAATTTGACTCCTGGTCAGAACACATACTTAGGTTGTAGGTTGGATCCCTAATTGGGGTCCATATGGAAGGCAACTGATTGATTTTTCTCTTTCACATCGATGTTTCTCTCTCTCTCTCTCTTTCCTCTCTCTCTAAAAACAACAAATATATCCTTGGATGAGGATTAAAAAAATATGCTTACCAAAATTGACCTAATATAAAATAGAAAATCCAAATAGCCATGTATTAGTTAAAGAAATTGAATTCATTATTAAAAACCTTCCCACAAAGAACCTTTCTGCATTCCCCAAAAACACCCAGATAGTATTGGCCTTGGTTCCCACGTAACTTAAATGGAAACTTTCACAATGTCTGGAGCCCTTGATGTCCTGCAAATGAAGGAAGAGGATGTCTTCAAATTCTTTGTAGCAGGAACCCACTGAGGTGGCACCAACCTTGACTTCCAAGTGGGGCAGTACATGTGCAAAAAGGAAACGTGACAGCATCTGCATCATAAATCTGAAGAGAACCTGGGAGAAGCTTCTGCTGGCAGCGTGTGCCATTGTTGCCATCGAAACCCCGCTGCTGTCAGCGTTATATCGTCCAGGGAACTGTGCTGACGTTTGCAGCTGCCACTGGAGCCACTCCCATTGCCAGGCACTTCACTCCTGGAACTTCACTAACCGGATCCGGGCAGCCTTCTGGGAACTGAGACCTCTGGATGTTACTGATCCCAGGACTGACCACCAGCCTCTCACAGAGGCGTCTTACGTTAACCTGATCATCATTGCTCTGTGTCACCCAGACTCTCCTCTGCAGTTTGTGGACATTTCAAACCCTGTCAACCACAAGGGGGTTACTTGGTAGGTCTGATGTGGTAGATGCTGGCCCCCAGAACTACTACTCATGTGACACCATCTCCCGTGAGCATGCATGGGAGGTCCTGCTTGACCTCCACTTGTACAGAGATCCTAGAGAGATTGAGAAGGAAGAGCAGACCGCTGCTGGAAAGGCTATGACCACAGAAGAGTTTAGGGTGAATGTACTGCTCCGGCTCCTGAGTTCACTGATGCTCAGCCTGAGGTTGCAGACTGGTCTGAAGGCTCATGTGCCCTCTGTGCCTATTCAGTAGTTTCCTACTGAATACTTTAGCGCTCAGCCTGACACTGAAGACTGCAGCCCCCAACTGCTCAGGCCACTGAGTGGATAGGAACAACCACTGAGGGATCTTAAACTGTTCTTCCACAACCTCTTAACAGAATGGAAATGGTCAACATCACTAGCCATTAGAGAGATACAAATTAAAACCACAATAGGTACCACTTCATACCAGTCAGAGTGGCCATCTTTAATAAATCAACAAACTGCAAGTGCTTGCGAGGTTGTGGAGAAAAGAGAATGCTAATGCACTGTTGGTGGGATTGCAAACTGGTGCAGCCACTGTGGAAAACAGTATGGAATTTCCTCAGAAAACTAAAGATGAAACTGCCTTTTGATCCAGTGATCCCACTGCTGGGACTATACCCTAAGAATCCTGAATCACCAATTGAAAAGAACCTATGCACCCCATTGTTCATAGCATTATTTACAATAGCCAAGTGCTGGAAAGAGCCTAAGTGCCCATGAGTAAATGAGTAGATCAGAAAAACTGTGGTACATTTACACAATGAAATACTGTGCAGTAGAAAGAAAGAAATAGCTCCTACCCTTCACGACAGCATGGATGGATTGGGAGATTATTATGCTAAATGAAATAAGCCAGGCAGTGAAAGACAAATACCATGTGATCTCACCTATACGTGGAACCTAATCAATAAAACAAATGAGCAAAACAGAACCAGAGACATGGAAATAAAGAACAAACTGTCAGTGATCAGAGGGGAGAGGAGAGGAGGATAATGTGGGAAAGAAGGGGAAGGAACAAGCAAAGGAATGTGAATAGAGGACTCATGGGCACAGATAATGGGAGGATTGACTGTGGGAATGGGGGGATGGGGTGGGGGTGAGCAATGGGGAAAAAGGTGGGACAACAGTAACTGAACAACAATAAATTTAAAAAAAAAGAAGAAAAAGGAATGGAAATACGGAAGTAAGGTTGACGGAAAATAAAACACCTAAAAAACAGAAAAGAAAAGAAAAACCCTTCTGAAAAAGAAAACCCGATAGTTTCACCAGTGAATCCTATAAAACTTTTGCAGGAGAAAGAGCACCAATTGTGCACACTCTTTCAGAAAACAGAGGTAGAGGAATCAGTTTCTAACTTACGTTATGAGGCCAGCATAACCCCAACATGGAAACGAGACAAATGTTTCCTAAAAAAGAAAATTATAGACTAATATTTCTCATGATTGTAGACTTAAAATATTCAACAAGCTATCAAATGGTATCTAGCAATATGTAAAAGGACCATTTATTATAATCAAGTTTATGCCAATTATACAAAATTGGGTTAACATTCTAAAATGAAACTCCACTTCACCGTAGTGACAATAAAGAGAAAACTCATACAATGATTTCAATAGATGTGGACAACATTTGAGAAAATTTAATACCTGTTTATAAAAACTCATCAGGTCTAATCCTCAATCTGATGAGCCCTATCTTTGAAAAACATACATCTTCAACATTTAATGGTGAAATATTGTACATAAAATGTGCTTACCCTTACCACTTTCCAATATTGTATTAGATCTTAGTACAATGAGGCAATAAAAAAATAGAAGGCATACAGATTGGAAAGACATGTAAGAATATATTTAAAAATAGTTTGATTTTTCTCATCCAAAAAAAGAATTTGCCTTTGAATCACCTTATGATTACTCCATTAAACACTTTAAAAATACATGTCTGGTATGATTAGTGTAACTGATACCTTTGTCATTCTTAGAACTTCCAAATTCTGATTTTTTCTCTCTCAGTTTTGTCTATCTTCAAAACCATTTTCCTTCATAGCATTCTATCTAATATGTACAGTATAATTCCCATTACTTTCTGAAACACTATGTTAGTTCGTTCTTTCTCCTAGATGGTAAAGATAGAGCTAATTAACATAGTGCATCTACCTCTTTGCCTGCTACCTGTGCAGCACTCTCTCACTTCTCCCTGCTTTGCATATGTAGTCACCCCCTTATCATCCTCCCACTCAATAGTTCAATAGCATCAGGTCATTCAGCACACTGTTTTAAGTCATTTAATAGAGTATTTGTCCTATGCTACACTGTGAGTCTTTGAGGGCAGAGATCATTTTTTCATTCATATTTTTATTCTTAGCATCTGGTGCCATTGCTGATAATAAGCCCGTGAATGGATTATCATTATCAACCTGAAAGATTTTGAGTGCATAAGAAAAAATTCTTGACTTTAGGTTTAATTTTATGCTGTAGTCTTAAAATATCTAAAACATTTGATCTTCCACTACTTTTCTTATCATTACAACGCAGAATCTCATTCTTCAAAATATCAATGAAACAGAATTATGTTTTATGCTACTATTAATTTTAGAATTATTGGTCCCTGACATTAGTAACATCTTAGGTTATTTTTGTGGGAACCAGTGATTACATTGTAAGTATTTTCTTGAGTTCTAGAAGTGCTCAACACATCACCATTTTGCCGTACATTAATGTCAGTTAAAAATGCTCGGTGTGAAAGAAAGGTTTCTTCCTGCTAGGAACAAGCTGTTGAAATCTTAAGTTTCTTTAAAATATTGTTTAGGTTGTTTTAGTTCAAATACAATTACTGAATTGTTTTCACCTAGAATTCTACGTAATTTTCAAGTGGTGTATCAGAAGTTACGATTCTGTTATGTAGTCCCCATTGCTTTGTTTCTTAGGTGGAGATAGGAAGGCTCCATAAACACCAAAGGAATTTTTCATGTGTAAACAGTACAAAAGCCCTTGATATAATATTGATATATGTGATTTGTAAAGACCTTGTATTTTTGTGGATAGTGTAAGTTGTCAAAAGGGACATTTGTTACATTTTTTAATAATCTGTCTGGTTATAATAGGAAAGATGTTTTGAAGATAAAAGATTTATTTGAAAGTTATCTACTTATTACTGGATTAATATTAAGGACATTTATGAAATATTTGTATATTCAAATTTTAAAGCATTTTAAGCTTATATTTTATGATAAATTAGACTAAAACAAAACTGTTATGACATCTGTTTTAATTATCTTTCTAGTGAGCACCCTGGTGATTAGTGAATTTTTACAGTGTTTTCTTGTGTGGATATGAACCCTGTAGTTTTGCTATAGTTCATTTTATATGTAATTAGTAGATATATTATTCAAACATTCTTTCCTTCACATGTTTTTCTTTTTTCCTCCTATATAGTGCATATTTTTAGCATAGTGTTATCTTTAAATAGGCATTTAGTAAATGGCAACTAGGCTATTAAATTTATTTATTCTACTTTGTCCTAATATTATTGCTTTCCAAATTTAAACCACAAATACATTATTTTTTTCTTAGAATTGGTTAGAAGTTTCATCTTTGTTTTATGGAATATTTATGGGAGAAGGAAGCTTTTAAAAAATTTGATGTGGGCCCTGGCTGGTATGGCTCAGTGGATTGAGTGCAGGCCTGAGAACCAAAGAGTCGCCAGTTTGATTCCTAGTCAGGGCACATGCTTGGGTTGTGGGCCCAGTCCCCCGTGGGAGGTGTGCAAGAAGCAACCGCACATCGATGTGTTTCTCCCTCCCTCTAAAAATAAATAAATAAATAAAATCTTTAAAAAAGTAAAACATTTACAAAAATTGATGTGAGTTCATTTTTCATCCGATAGCAGCGTTTGTTAAAAACCAGTATGTGTTAATTAGCCACTGTTAAGTAACATTGCTTTTGGTATATTAAGGGAAGGGGTATTCAATGAACTTATACCTATCAGGTCCTCAAACAAGGACTATGGAGCAAGGAGTGATACTGTTAAATAGTGTCTGAAGATTTTATAGTGATTTGTATTGAATAACTTTAGCCTGAAAATAAGAAAATACAGATTTGTTTTACGACCAACTTTCTGATTGTGTGTCTTTGGCTAAGTCACTTCAGTTCTCTGGTTCTTAAGTTTTCTCATTTACTAAATGAGAGATTGAATCAGCTCTTTTTAATTTTCTCAGTGTTCTGACTTTGGTGAAAATTCTCAATTTGATTCTTAAATTTTCTGAGTCTAGCAAAAATTTTTAAATACAACAAGCAGGAAATTCAGTAGTTACAAATAAGTATAATTAATACAAAAAACCCTTAACATGTAGGTATTGGCAAAATATAGGGCTTCTAGAGGTGGATAGAGTTAATTGGAAAGGCTTCTAGGAAAAAAAAAACAATGTGAAAGCTTTTGAAGTCAGATGATGAGTACGTGAGAGGGAGGAGAAGCATGTTTGTAGACAAGAAAAGTTTGTTTATGTGGCAGACACTTGAAGAAGACCACAGGCAGATTTGATTGAAGTAGTGACTTCATGCTGAGGAATAATGGGAAATGCGGCTTTTGAGCATGTGAAGAGAAAAAAGCATCAGTTAGTAAAGTGCCTTGAAAGGTATGTTAAGGAGGTAATTTTGATGTTTAGTGATGGGCAGCCACGGCATGCTTTTGTACAGGGGATAGGTAGAAGGAAATGTGCCTGAGAAAAATATTTAGGTTGTCTTTAAGGCAAAATGAGATTGGGAGCTTAAAAACTTCATGGATAGATAAACTTGAGAAGATTGCACCAGAAAATGAGCTGCTTTGGATAGGAAAAGCCATGGCTTTTTAAAATTAATTATAATTAGATTAGTTAGATTTCCAGTGAATGTAGTTAAAGGATAAAGATGGCTTTGTGATGTAAGTGAAGAATATATAGAATTTATCATCTTGCCCCAAAATTCCTAAATATTATTCTCTGATATTTTCTTACATACCAGCTATAACAAATGCAAAGAATGAGAAAGATGGATCTTTTTATCCTCAGAACCAAACTTTTCAAGAGATACATGATATCTTAAAGTATTTTCAACTCTTAACTAATTACAATAGTTGTTATGCTTTGTCAACATATACATTATTGTTCATGTTCATATACATTATTTTGTACATATTATATGTATGTCACATTTATATGGATTAATTAGGCTTATTTAAAAAAATAATACTTACAGTCATACTTCTATGAAATTTTACATTAATGATTCTTCCGTGGATGTGGTTTAAAAAAGTGAACTATTTAAATGACTTTTCCTTCTCCCTCCCCTAGTCTTTTCTTGCACTGGTGAACTTCTTATCTTATCCTGCTATTTATGAGCTGGTAGGCAATCAAGATCTTCCTAATAAAGAAGAATATTCTCTTCGTGAAGTTCCCACATGTATTATTGTAAGTAATTTTCTTTTAATTTTTATCTTTTATAAATGACACTTTTGGAATTTTCTAGTAAAAATGCAATTTGACAGAAAAAAAGGAACATTATTTAATGGCACTTAAAGGCTGGTTTGTTTGTCCATGGAATATCAGCTTCTGGAATTATCTGTGAACAGAATCTTTGATCCAGGCCCCTGACCAGCTGCAACACCTATCGGAATGAATACAAGGTTAACACTCCCTAATAAGGAAAGAGACTTTGTAAATAAAATATGTGTATGAATGATTGTAGATGATTTATTATGTTATTAGTCATACCAGTGCTGCTCCTTTATTGGCCAGGATAATTAGGAATAAATTGTATTCAAGGGACGCAGTACATTTTGTCCTTATATTTTAATGAACTACATATTAACTGCCCCTTGAGGGCAGTATATACATATTTATTTCAATAGAGATTTATTTTGTACTCATACTCCCAGACTGGTAACTGGTTTTAATCATCCAGAGATATTTAGTTCCTCATCTTTGGATAAGTTAATGAATTAACACACATAAATATGTATATATACATTAGTAAAGAATTATTTGATTAATACTGAAATTCCATTATTAATCCTTATTTTTTATTTTCCTGGTCACTTGTCCTGTGTTTTTTTTTTTTAAAACAGTTTTTCTCTCTTGAATATTTTTAGTCCTTGTTAACTCTAAACATTTTAATGTTCTAAAACTTTCTCTACTGTGGAAAATTTCTGATATTTTACCTGAGTAAAATACAAAGATAGATACCTCTATCATTCAACTGTTATTTTATATTCTCTATTCTTTGAAGTGTTCCAATTTTATCTTGTGCTTACTTGGATCGTGACACTTCTTAAGTAGTTTTATAATTAGCCATTTATATACCTTTCCTTTAACTCAATTTGCTACCTTGTGGCATTTGGCACAGTTGATCCAGCCTTCCTTATTGTCACTCTTTTCGATGATCGTGGTACTAATGTTTTTTCCCCAGCCTCTCCGGCCTCTCCTACATGGTCTCCTTTGTAGACTCTCCCTCCCCTCTGTCTTATGTCCTCCGGGCTGATTTCCTCCAGCTCCTTGGCCTCAGCTGTGTGCTGACCACTCTCGCTCCTGCATCGCTCACTTGACTGCCGGGTCTGTGCCCAGATTTCTACGAGAAGGATATCTGGGAAACTCATGGGCCTCTCAGTTTTATTGTATGAACAATGAAATATAATGTTTTCTCTATCCTAAATCAGTTCCATTTCCTATGTTTCTGTCCCAGCAAATGGCACCGTCCTCTTTCTGTAGATGCAATGAATTCATCAAGTTTTACCTTCTTAATAACTTCATCTTATTTATTTTTCTATTCCTGTTACGACCACTTTAGCTTAGATCCTCATTTTTTTGCCAAATTACTTCAGTGGGATTCTAATTGCTGTTTTTCTTCCATTCTCAGCCTATAATTTATCCTCACACTAATTTATCTTCAAAGTCGTCCTTTAAAAATGAAAACCAGATGCAGTCATTCTGTTGTTTAAAATCTGATTTCCCTTTGCCTCCATATTCCTTTCATTCAAGGTCCATATTCCTTTGTTGGTATTCAACTTCTCATTTCTCAAAGCCTCCTTTTTCCCCCCATTTTACCTTCCACTATCTAACCCCTACATTTTTTGGGTAAGCTTTTTTTTCTCTGAAGTCTGGAAAGTACATAACCTTGCTTTTTAGCTAGATTGCAGCTCCCCATTCTTTAGGACTTGCTATAGCTTTACTCCTTCTCTGAAGTCATTTCTGTCCTTTCTCTTTGGCCACTGTTCTAGTGGGTTCCTCTTAATGTACTCTCATAGATTGCACCTTGTCCATGAATAAAGCATATGTCACACTATTTTATATTATTTTTGTATTCTCCTAACAGACCAGAAGCACCATGAGGAAAGGAACTGTGTCCTATTTGTCTTTTGCTCTGAATGCCTAACAAATGTGGGGCTTTGTTTTTTGTTTTTTTTCCTACTATGAGAATGGTAGGTTCTCAGTAACATCGCTGTTTAATTAATTGTTATTGGCTAGACCTATACACTTAGTGACTTGGGTCCTTGTTAGGTTGTATTCAAAAGGATTTAATTCAGTAACTTTTTATTTTCTTTGGAAGTCCCATGATGGCAAGAATCCTAGGAAGTGATAGCGAAGTATGATGTGTGTGTGTCTATGTGTGAGTGTGTCTATCTTTGTGTGTGTGTCTGTGTGAATGTATCTCTGTGTGTACATATATTCACAGATGTGCGTGTTTTCTTTATTTTGTGGTCATTTTTCAAACTTATTGAGTTGGCAGAAAAGTCTGTTTAGTTTTTTTCCTGTAAAATAAAAGACACATTTTTCATTTTCACCAATAACTTTATTGATTTGGATATTTTGAGTATGTTGCCTATGTCCCATGTGACATAACATTGATTTTTCTTAATTAATGTATCGATTTGATCACTATCAACTTCAGCTGGTCTACCTGACCCTGGAGCATCATCCAGAGGAAACCACCAGCATGAAATTTTGCAAACCACTTTTGACACATTTCTTAGTCACAGCATGTTCTCCATACACTGCACAAATCTTTTTGGGTGTTTCAGTTGTGTTTTTATCTTTCAGCATAATATGCCAAAAATGTTGTGTATTTTCTTCTGTCTTCAATATTAAAATGGCTACACAAAAATTCACCAATTTTGATAAGTATTTTTTAAATTCACTCTGATATGACAGGTGTTACAATATAATCTAACAAAATTGTTTCAAATGAAGTTAAAGACAACTAAACGCTACTAGAGCCATTTTACAGGAAAAAACAAACTTACTTTTTGGCCAACACAATATATTAAAAAATAGTATAATGAATTCCTATATACCAGTCAGTAAACTTCAGCTGTTATCAGTATTCTGACCATGTTCTTCTACTTTTCCCCCACTATTTTCCAGTATTTTCTCCTTTACTCCTGCTTTTTCTTTTTTTTTAACTGGAGAATTATAAAGCATAGTTTGGGCATAATGTCACTATATCTGTAAATTTTTATCTCTAGCTGATAAGGACTTTTGGGGGTTTATTTTGGTTTGAATTACCATCCTGTAAACCTTTACTGTATGTAAAAGATTAGGTAGCTGTAACCTGTTGATATTATTTAATATCATTGTTGTCAATATAGAAGTTTGCTTTGTTGTCTCAAACAGACCCTTTTTTTATAGTTGGTCAGGTCAAAATCCAAACAAAGTTCACATGTTGCATTCAGTCATTATGTCTTTTAAGTCTCTTTTATTCTAAAACAGTTCTTGCTCTCTTTTTGTTTTTAGATCATTGATTTATTGAAGGAACTGCATTATTTGTCCTGGGTTACTGAGTCATTATTTTATTAGGAGGTATAAATTTGTGACTCTCGTCATTTAACTATAATTATTTAACTATAATTATTTAATAAAGGAAACCTGCAAATACAATTCTTTCATAATGACAAAATAAATGTTATTTTTCTATTTTAAATAAATTTTTAGAATAATAAATTGGTCCTTTAGTATCTCCAAAAGGGAAGTTTTATTATTATCATTATGAACTTTAGTTTTTACATGGGTATGTTTCAGTCCCATGCAGTAATATTATTTTTGATGCTCATGATATTCCTTTGGCTACTGAGTATTTTTGACATGTTTTCATCACTGTTTAATATTTTGCTTTTTTTGTTTTCTTCTGTAAGGTGTTTCAAGCTTATCATATACATTTTCTGGCTCAGGCCTGGAATCAGCCATCTTCAAATCTTTGTTTCTTTTAGTAGAAAGTGGAATTTAGAAACTATAATCTGGGTACTGGGAATATTTAGGAGTGTCATTATTACTAGTCCTTTCAGTGGATAACCAAGGGGAAAAATATAGTAGTTTTTTTTAAGAGAAAAGTTAATCATGAGCCTATGTTGATACTTTTTCTTACCTGCTTTTTATTGCTTTTATCTTTCACTGAAAAACTGGGTTCCTAATGCATGAACAAGATTACTTACTTGTTTTGTTGTATAATGTACATATAGCAGTTTCAAAATAAGATTAGTGAATGCATACCGACATTCCTTTTTAGTTAGTTTTGTCCTTAGAATACATGCCACTGGGGATTTACTATCAAAATATTATTTTAAAGTCATTTGAAGTAAGTGAAGTTTTATTTGGCCTGGTTATGTCACTAATTTAATAATAGGTTTGTTTCAGAATGTTTGAAATTTAGATAGGTTATTTTCCTTTTTTTGCCTTAATTTTGTCTTTTAAATTATAGAAAATATTGTGATTTCCATATATATAAAGGTATATTCACAGAATGTTCTTACATATTCCATTTTTTCTTTTACCATAGTATTTGACTTTCAATATAATAGCTACTAGCCATATATAATGTTTAATTTTAGATTATTTACAAATAAACAAAGTTAGAAATTTATTTTAATTCTATGCACGTTTCAAGTTTTCAAGTGCCCATTAAACCATATGTGGCTAAAGACTACCACATTGGACAGCATGGAGAGAGAACATTCCCATCACTGCACAAAGTTTTATTCTGTAGCTCTGCTTTATAGCTAACAGTTTTTATTAGTTTTTGATTTATCTGCTGTCCCTTTGGAAAAGAATATATTTTCTTTTCCCCCAGATTTCTTAAACAAACGATAGTATGCTATAAATATCATCCAGCCCTTTGCATTTTTTAAAATTCTATTATCTTTGAGATTACTTTATAGCAGTATATAGAGCTCTACCTCATTCTTTTCTTTCTTTCTTTTTTTTTATAGTACTTAGCACTGTAGTACATCCTTCTGCATAGTATTCTATTGTGTGGATTGTGCTATGGTTTATTCATCCAGTCATCTAGTGGTGGAACTTTACTTTATTTAAGTTTTTTGCTCTTGTAAATTATGCCGAAATGAAAAGCCTTGGCTTATACTACATTGTATTTACCAGTGTGTATGCATTTTTTCCTATTGCTGCAGTACAGATTGCTAACA